GCAATTACTTACCACGGCATAAAGCGACTGATTGCCTGTTTTCTCGCTCAGATAAGGAGGTATCACGTAATCCCTGTAACCTCCCGATAAGCTCACCACCGTTGTAGACTCAGGTATTTTGGAGAAATTCCCATCATAAAAATTGGCCAAGTGGTAGTCCAAAAGTAGTGGGGGCCTTTTCAGAGGCGTTGCCAAAGTGACAACTAGAGGAACCAGCTTGGGATCTGATAATTCTGATACCAATTTCAAAGCTATTATCCCCCCCTGAAACAAAAAGTCTCTACAATTTTCACAGTTCCTTCTTCAAATTGGAATTGTTCTTACCACAGAATGTCCCACAAGTATCACAGATTCAGGTCGGCTGCTGCTTTGCTTGTACAACTCGAGAATGCGGTAGAGAGAGCTCTTGACAAAATCTAGCTGATCATGAAGCAACGGGCCGTACAAGCCTGTAAATTCTTCGTTCAGATCGACCGTGAAGTAATCAAAATGGTAAGGGATCCTCGAATTTAGCGATTTTCGTAGAGCAACCGAAGACAATGATCTAACTGTGAGAAAATGATAATTTTAGACAGACAGATTTATTTCCAGTCAACACAATTATAACCAAATTGCAACGCCCTTAATACATTTTTCCATTTCATTTCATTGTCATTTTTACTTATTTGGATGTTATCTAATGAATATAATTTCATTAGGTGAAACAAAAAACAAGATTCCTAGTTACAACTTTTTGTATTACCTTGTTTGTAAGATCCCGCATTTCCAGGTATAAACAGTACAGGAATGCCATTGAAGAACATGTTTCGGGTTCGTTCTGTAAGTCGTCCCTCGCTGTAGGCATACAATCCATATTTAATATATTTCTTGTCAACTTGATGAGATATTTTCTGAAACAATGAAACTCTGAAAGCATACTTTCAAAATGTGGCTAATAGATAAAAATACCTAGATGAATCATTTCTGTATTCAGAACTGATATTACCTATTTTTAACATCCTATAAAGATTCAGCTCTGTGAAATGTTTAACTTTTTTACAATGCTATAAAGATAATTACATTGGTTCACATCATTTGTAATTAATTAGTTATTTCAATATAATAAATAACCTTACTTACCACAAACTGAGGATATTCGAACATGTAGGTCATCTCACATTTATCTTCTTGGTGTTCTGTTAAAAATTTCAATAATCCTATGCCATATCCGAGAGTTATTAATAAAGAAATTAACACGAACCCACCGACTTTAAACATTTTATTTTGAATCTCTGTCCATTATTTAAAAATAAACATTAACAGGCTGCCATCTGGTTGACACACAGGGATATTAGTTGTCAATGTCAAATACCACAGAGCAACACGGGTTACAGTTGGGAAGTAAGATATTGTATAGTGTTGGCGTTTTGTAAACTGTTCTGTGAAAATTTCGTAATAAAGTGTAACTTGAACACGTTATGTGTTTTCATCAAGTATCGGCCAATTCCATCACATATCAGGTTATAAAAGAGCAACGTTAATAATGAGATTGTTCTTCACATGGCGTATTTGCTTTTCAACGGTAGAGAGAACTCTGCGAATAAACTTATGAATCCAGCTTGACAACAGAATGTAGGGGCAGCTGCATCATATTCCTATACATTCAAAGTCAAATTATAACAATGAACCGAAGCAGAATTTGAATTGAAATAAAAAAACCAAATGCACACTATCTTAAATAGTGTCTATACAAAATATTGTTGTGTCAATATGCTCCATAACTTTATTTGATCAAAACGAAATCCAATCATTAAAAATATTTCGGTTCACCATAATCTAGCAAAACTTTGACGTTCATTTTTTTATAAAATTCCAGTATAGTTTAGTTTAAGATACCACATCTACCAGAACTCAGGACCGACATCATTTTATTGTTTATGATTTCGTTCATGCATGACTTGTTAGATACTTTTTTCAGAAATAAATGTGTGACTTTGTTTTTCATTGTACCAAAGATGCATAGAAATATCATGCTGTATTTTCTTGGACCTTTTTGTATGCAAAATATTTTGAAGAAAACATCAGATCTACAACATCCACAGAGACGGCACTCTTGATTCTTCATAAAATAAAGAATAAAGAGATCCAACATACTTCAGTATTATATTCATAGAGCACACACCAAATTTTACATATAGAAACGATTTTATGAATTTTTTGCCAACATTGTTTAGCGGTCATTATTATCATGCATCGTTTGAATTCATTGAGACAGATTTGTTTATACATGGTATCACTGTGAATCAACTGACAAAATTGATATAAATATCTTCGTAAAATAGAAAGTAATCTAAGGAAATTATCAAAATCTTGTTTTATCATATTGGTAGTTCTACTCCCGCATAAAACTGAATTGGATCTTCAGTGTTAGTGTTTTCAACCGGCGATAGTGCTGAAATACTAGTAGTCTTCTGAGCGTATTCTCAGTGTAAACTTTTTTATGAAGTAATTTTTTCAAAGAAATTAATATAACGATTTGAATGTTACCGTCCATAATCTCTGATCAATCGGTGTACTATTTGGTGAATTTGATATTTTAAGAACCTTCTTGTCCTTAGAGCAATGTAACATAAGTCATAAGCCCTTCCATATCAATCGAAAAAATATTTGCTTTTGTAAGTATATATGTTGTGATTCTCATCAAACGACTACAAAATCCGATGATTTATTCATACATGAAATTGAAATAGAAGAAAACAATGATAACATTGAGTATTTATCATTGTCATTTATGTTGCGGAAGCACACATATACACCAATAATCATAATAATGATAATAATATCATATTTGCCTGGCGAAACTAATGACAGTTCTTCTCTACATATTTTTTTTAAACATATTTCAATATTTATTAGATGTGACATCATCGACTAAAGTATTTCAGTTAAAAAATGAAGTATTTAGAACAAACTCAAATATTATTATGTCAAAATATGGCTATATTTAGTATTGCCAACGAATTTGTTTATTGTTCTCTGGTATTGCTCTGAGTGACAGCCACCGTGACAGCATAAGGTAACAATTCTGAGTCTCAGAGCAACAATATTTGATTGTCAGCTGTCATTTGCAAACGCAATTTGAATTTTGTGTAGGCTTGCCGTTATTTTAATTTTATAAGCAGTAATAGAAAAAATAGGAAAACAATAATAAAATAGTAATATGTGAGATAGTGAAAAGCGTTAACACAAATCGAAACAGACAAAACTCATTATTTGTGGATATTTTGTTATATTTCTTCGTTAGTAACAGAGCCTATAAGAAATTTTGAAATATATATCTGAGCTCCACTCTTGCGATTCAGAAGAGCCGCATATTACTCTTTTCAAAGAGATCTATTTGAGACAAATATAACCGATTAAATCAACCGATAACCATGGAGACTTCCACGCCAATGCCCAGTCTTGCTACCGATCTACGTCGACGGACTTTGTTGAAAAATGCAGCCCAAATGTCGCCTCTTCGAAAATCTATGAACGTATCCCTCAACGCCTCATTACTCGAGGAATCAAACGATGACGAAGAGAGATCGGACAGGAGAAACCAGCAGGACATCCACAAAAGACTTTCTAACCTACCTCAACGTCCATCTCCAATGAATGAATCGTTCATCAAGGAACAGTTTATTATCTGCACACATCTTTTTACAGAAAATGTAAGTTACCAAGAAGTAATATTTTGTAAATCGCTGTTGAGCTACTTCTGTTATTTATTTTTGAATTTTTCAAATCTTCATTTAATGTTGGAATGAAAAATGGGGCTAAATGATTCAGTTTCAAACCTTTATTTTCTACGTATAAAATTTCGAACTCTTTGTTGAACTTGTTTTCTTATTTACATAGCTCATATGATGTTCCTGCATTCAATTTCTATATGTTTTTCCAGTTTGACCAATATATACCTTAGGGCACGTTTCACACTTTAATTTATGTACTCCCGATTTCTCGAATATTGATGATTTGTCTTTATTATTTTTAACTAACTTTCCTAACGTATTACTTGTTCTATATGCAATTTTAATATCTCTTTTCCTCAAAAATGAAGCCACTTTTCGAAAGAAAAAGTGGAAGCTGTGATTATTTGAATTTAGCCCTGCATAATAAATATTTATCTTAATTTTCTTGATATTATGAGTCGACTTTATCTTCTAGTATTCTTTCACAAACGAAAAATTCATCAAAATATTTGGCTGCTCAATTATATTCATACAAATTTACTAGTTACTGAATATATCAATAATCCTTGGCTGTAACTTGACAGGCTTGTGTCAAATAGACATGCATGTGTAAGCTTTTTTACCGTCTTGTATTATGTTTTTTTTCAAGTTTACGATATGAGTAGCCTTCTATATAAATATCTGGACGAAGAAAGTGTTTGGAAACAATTTGACCAAATAAAACACCAAATTTTGGGTTTAAATCAGGTATGGAATTGAAATTATGGCACAGTTAGAATGACAAATTCAAATATGTATTACACATACATTCATTCTGAACAAGATAACCAAATTCAAGTTGATGCTATCTACATTGATTTCAGCAAGGCTTTTGATAAAATCGACCATGGTATTTTGATTAGAAGACTTACTGTAGTTGGTGCTGCTGGTTCTCAGGTTTGCATATTATATCTTTAAGAGAGAACCGTGTATGACTCACTCCACGGTAATTATTCCAAGGCTACACCAATGACGTCAGGTGTACCACAAGGATCACACTTGGGTCCACTCATGTTCTTGATCTATGTGAATGATATTCCAGAATGATTTTTGAGATTAGGACTATTCTAGATTGTTATAAATTACACCCATATTCAAATAGATTTGAGACATATTAATTCAATTGTAAATCATCGAAAGTGTCACTTTATAATGTTTACAAGGAATGAAAATGTACGTGACGTCCAGTATACCCTCATGGGTGTACTATACTGAAAAGTAACCACCAAATAAGAGACTCGGGTGCCACATTTGATAGCAAACTCATATTTGATGTTATTGAAATTATTGAACTGGTCTTTTCATTACCCTGAAAGTTGTTCAGGTCCCAATGGAATCCCGCTATTCTTAATAAAAAAATGCAGATACTGTTTCTGAAACCATTACGGAATCATAACCAAAAATATTGTTATATATCAAGTTGTAAATCAAAATTGTTATTTTCCTGCATATCAAAGTTTAGACTCATTGTTTTCATTTCTACATGTGAATATATCATATTCATAATTGATAAAAAAGGATGTATGTTCCTTTCTTCTTTTAAAAATAGTTTTACCCATTTAGCCTACATAAAAATTAGTGTAGAATCTGCACTTCAATTATTTTGCCATAATTCTCGTTATACTTACTGAACTGAATATGTTTCCAAAAATAATTTGTTTTTGGAACTACTATTTCGAAGAAATACTACGGAGGTTGTTACTTTCTAGAAAATCAACTCAAAGAATGCATGGAAACTACAGATCATAGATTTGCTGAAACCATTATGCCAGAAATCAAACAAAGACACCTTACAAGTGGCAAGCACGTCTATAGACATAAGCGCAAAGGTATACGGAATCCGAGTGGACGACATCCACTCCGAAGGCCTCAAACTGGCTAACAGCATGGCAAGAGTGTCGGAGAGGATGCCAGCTGAAGGAGATGGCAAGCAAATCCAACCTTAAATGTGATTGCAAAATGTAATTCATATCTGTTTCAGATGAAGATGGTGTTGAGAATGATGGCGACCGCCCAGACGAGGAGGGGAACACTCAGAAAAAAAAGAAGAAGAAAAAACGCGTGAATTTGTCCGGGAAGAAATGCACAGTATCCGACAGTTCTAAAACTCACTGCGGCCCCTTACCAAAACTGGAACCGATCGAATTTACCACAAGAGTAAATGCTGATACGGGCACCATGGAGAATCTATACACAAACACATTCAAGGAAAGCTCAGATTCTTTCCTGTTGCTGTAAGAATGTTGATACAGTGATACTTGATATATACGTGTTGATTATTTGTTTCTTTCAGCAATAAAACTAAAACCATGCTTGACGATAAGGACATGACGATACAAAACAAAGAAAATATTTTATTTCATTCTCTGCCACCCTTACCCGCACAAGTAACCAAAATAAATTATCCCTTTAGTGATTTCAGGCTGGATGAATGGGATCCCGACAATGAGGAAAAACAGTAAGTGTTGCATGGTTAATTAATTCTTGTCGTTTCATTTTATCAAAATAATAATCAGACAAAAATTGTCCAGTGCAAAAATGTTGTTCATTAAATATAATGATAAGTTCTGAACCACAAAATAGAGGCGTAGTATTTTTACTATTTCATGAACCGAAAATTATTTACAACAAGTCATAAATATCTAAGACAACAAAATAAGTGTCTGAAGACTGTATCAAGGAGAGATACATACGTATAAGAAGATGAATATTTGAAATTAAATTTCGAAATATTTATCTCTCCCAACATACCTACACAGTAGAATCTGGTAAATGCCTGCCGGAAAACAACTACTTCCCCGGCTAATACCGCGCCAGATATTCAATTATATCCGACAAACATGCAAGATACCTCATAGAGGTTAGTCTCACAGACATTTCTTGTTTATCCAGGAGCAGGACCAAGCTGAACTTACCAGATAGCTCTGTACAGGTTCTTGTTCAACTCATAAACAAAACGTTCAGGCATGGAGAATTTCGACAATTTCTTAAAACATCAATGGTCATACCTTTGCCTAAAGGGGGTGATCCTAATGATACATCAAACCTAAGACAAATATCTTTACAACCAACTCTTGCAAAGTTGATTGAGAAATTAGTTAAAATAAGACTTAAGGACCATTATGATAATGACCATTATAATAATATAAACAAAATAACTACTCCTCATCAATTTGGGTTTCAGGAAAACTAAAGCACTACTGACACAATATTTAATTTTCTCCATAAAGCATACAGCAACTTGCATGATGGTGGCGATATTCTGTGACTTGTCAAAAGAAATTGATTGCGTTAACCACAGAATACTGTTGCGGAAGCTACATCATACACCCACGCCGAACCGCTTGGCTACCGACTGACCCAAGTAAAAACCCAGTAAAAAAACCCAAATAAAAACCCAGAATTCTCAAGTTAAAATCTAAACTCCTTAGATTACAGTAAGAAATAAGACTAGAAGATATGATTATCAGTTATAAAACATACCTCAAGGCCAGTTTGTGCACTGTGGACTCGAAAGCAATGAGCGAAATGCCCAAAACTACGGCAAACATCCACACCAATCCGACGCCACATAAATACAACAGCAACGGCAAAAAGAACAGATCGGTGCCTTCCTCAGCCATATAAACAATATCCGGCTTGGGTAAGAAACTGGAAAGTTTTGGTGAGCTGCGAAACAAAGCAAAAAAAAATCGATAACGTCAAAGCATTTTTTCTACGTTACCTGAGCAGCTGCGACAAAACTTTGGAAGCTGTCAACACGTAGTACGGTTTGGCACCCTCGTTGATTGCCGAGAATACGGCGGAGCAGTAGCCACCCTCGAGGCTCTTCAATTGGAACCTGAGAGCCATCAACGTGACAGCAGCGACGTTCGTTAAAAGCAACGGAGTGTAATTTCTGGATATCTGAGAGAGCATGTTCATCAGGGACGACTTGATGCTGGAAATCAAAATTATTATATGATGGGCAGTATAGATTTCGAAAAAATAGTGACACAGAGTCCGCAGTATTAGATGTCCAAACCAAATTGCAGCTAGATTTAGATTCAAACAAAAAATGTGGAGTTCTTTCATTTATTTATTTATTTATTCATTAACGGGTAACACCCAATTAAGTTTAAGAGATTTCACAATAAATTATCTGAATACAACAAATAATTACATCTAACTTACTTGCTAAAAGTAAAACTAATTTANCGAGAATGCGGTAAATATAATAAAAAACTACTTACCTTATTCGATATTGACAGGCAGGGTCCAGAGTTAGTTTTATGACAACAGAGGCATTTTTCATTGCGTTAGGCTTGGAACTATACAATCTAATATCCATAGGCTTCTTATCCACATTTCTGGAATTCCATTCATTTCAATTCATTATTTAGTTTAAGAAGTAATTTGAAAATTACGAAGAAATGATAATTTCTATTTACTCTAAGTTAGTAAATACTAATATGAGACTAGCTTTTCCAAAACAACTATAGTTGATTTCCCTAGGTTGCGGAGTAATAAATCATTTTCAAGTATTTGTTCCATAAGTGTACATAATTGAGTAGTTGGTTTAAAAATGAAAAATGTAGTATTTATTTTGAACATTTAATGTTGTCATAATCATAATTTATTAGCCCAAATATGTATAAAGTACATTTAAGGTTGTCATAACAGTGGTATAAGTATGTGTATAGAACGTAGATTCAGTGTAAAACATAGAAAAAGTAAACGACATATAGTTTAGTGACAAACAGTACATGACATTTACAGTATCTGAGAAAATTTCAACAAAATTATTAACAATTTCACTGGATTATGGTTGTATTTGTGATTTGATATAACGCTGGAAAAAAAGATGATATCATGGGTCGATGCAATCTAATAGTGCTTTAATTAGGTACTTCATTTACTATTGGGAAGGAGAGCATACGGAGATTGTTCAGAAAATAAGGTGAACGTTCGACTAGAATTAGGTGCAATGCAAATGAAACAGAAGACAGTAGGATAATATCCTAGGTATGTCAAAAAATTAATATTTTGAGGAAAATTGATGTCTTGTTTCGAATTCAGAATGTAAAAGAATTTCTCATTAAAGCTTTTAATAACAATAATTTGAAATGTAACTACGTTTCGAATCCAATATTGCTTTGCTCTTTACTTACGTAAAAAACTTGTGATAGTTTTCATTGCTCCAAGGTACGATCAAGCTGGCTGTCGAATGATGATTTTCCGCCAAACAGTCTACTGGTTCCACATACAGTTGATAGGACTGAACGATATGTTGTTCAAAGCCAAATTATTTTTTGTGATAACCAGGAAGCAATAAATCAAGTGAAAATAACTTGTTGAAGTAATTATATATCAGATTTGAACTAATGAATTTGAATCGTGAATGGACTGAACCATCACTTCATGAAAATGAATAACACTATCCATGATAATTAATCAATTTTCACAAACATTTTTTAGCAATCCTTCACATCGCCGAGACAAAAATTTAAATTTGAATAGCCATGTTTTGTAGGAATTCACTACTTTTTGAATACATATTTTTTAATATTTCCTTCATTAACTTCCACATTGAAGGACATATAAACTTTTCAATCTTTTAGACCATTAAATATACTACCAACTCTTGAAAAACTGTTAGAAATGTCTGTATATAACCAATTAATTCAGTACTTTAATACCAATAAATTGTTTATAGGCAACCAATCAGGTTTTAGAGCTAGACACTCAACCATAGGAATTACAAAGCACTCTGTTCAATTCTACTTACTCACCGGTTCGCGTGTGGGGAAGACTCTGAAAACTACATGAGTCAGGTCACGGTGGTTTTTTCTCAACTCACGCATATCGATTTGTACGTATCTCCTCTTGAATTTTGCAGATGGAGCGATTTCCGACAAGTGTGTCAAGTGAATAGCCTCTGAACTGAGACAAACAAATAAAACATATTTTAACAATGTCATAAAAAACGAGAATATCTAAGGAGACTCACATATCAAATAAAAAAAAGCAACACAATTGCTACGTACCATATTCTACTGGAACCTCTGGGAAAGTTGGCATTACAGGCGAAAACCCAATCGACGGTTTCCAAATTAACGGCTAATACAGTCAAGATGTCATAGCCCGGCAAGTTCGAAAGTCCCACCATGTGCCAACGCGTGTCTTTCACGCCGTTCCTATAACTGATGGTGTACCTTTTCAAAATACTCTCCGACCATTCTCCTCTATTGTCAATGTCGACAGTTTCGTAATATTTGTCGCGATTCTTCACTTTCGTACCACTATGCTAAGAAAAGTTAGTTAGAATTTCACTCCACTTTCTTTGAATGAATTGGCTTACGTGAATCAAGTGATGATGGAAAGCTGTTCTTCTTTGAGTCGAATCCAGAGATATTTGATGTGTGGATGTGTCGACGCTGTCAAATAAGGCTCTATTAATCGCCTTGACCAATTGTTTGCACCACACCATTTGAACATGGTTAACTTCTATCCATGACATCGGAACGTTGGTAGTCTACAACATTTTAATTCAGATATATCTACTTCACGTTCAATCAAATATAACTTATTGTGAGATTTTCACTGGACAGTTTACAAAACCGCGACATGTGTTTCGCTGTAGAAAAGCTTCCTCAGGCGTATTGATCCTGACTGAATTATACTTAGTTTGTGTTTTATATAATAACAAATTGGACCTTCTACCTACAGTGTGACCCATTTTTAATGGAAACACCCCCCTAAAATTTGAAGTTGTAAACCGATTTTAATAATTTTTTTTTGGAAATGTCAAGTACTAAAATGTCTACCTTGGGACAAAATTTGAAATGTTTATTAAAGTTTCAGGGCATACTACGATATTTTTTCTTAGTCGAAAATCGGGATTTTTTATTAACGACTTTTTTATTGAAAAAAATCACTACGCCACTGAATTCAGAGTGCCTAAAAAGATTAGTTACCGTTTTTGCAGGCTTTGTTCAACCCATAGAAATCTACAGGGTGGTCGAGTGTACCAATTTAATCGAAATTAAACGACCTCATGCATTTTATTTTTATGATATTTAGTATGTTATAAAAATATCCCTAGACTTTTCCGATGTGTGTAGTTTGTGATATTGATGACTTATTTATTGCAGACCAACTTTGTCAGTAAAAATTGAAACAAAACTCAGAATTCCTCAATCTATCACATCTCTAGAAATAGATCAATAAAGATACATTAAAAAATCTGTTCATCAGCAATATTTTGAAAACCAACTCAAACAAATTCAAGTCTAATTGGAGGAGTACAAAGTAATGTAATGGTGAAATCACTGAAAAAATTAATACATCAAATATTTAACATTTTACTCACTTGAAATTATGGGCCCACGTCAGCACTGCTGGTACGTTTATCAAAGTTATTATGCACCATATGAAGAATAGGAAAGAGTGAAAGAAAATCGCGTTGTACGCCTCAGAAATCTTTGAACCATTTTTGGTGTTTTCGTTTTCCAAATCGTCATGAACATTTTCGATTCGCTCTCCTGTTTTGTTTTGTACAACGACAACTTCGTCATTTTCAACAGCTTCCTGTTTGTCATCCTCGGAATTTTCTACTATATCAACCTCTTCAATATTTGTAGCAGAGGCAGAAGTAGAAGGCTCTTCTTCCCTTTCAAGAGTATCTTTCAACTCTGATTCTGTATCTTTCAGTTTCACATTTTCTATTTGTTCTAGGCTCGCTTGAGGTTCAGTAACATGTTCACTACTCTCAGCAGCAATTATGATTGAGGTTTTTTCAGGTTTCTTCGCCCGCTTGAAGAAGTTCCTGAATTTTTTCGCAAAATTTTTCACAAATAACCAAACCACCTCTTCCACAAAATCCTGCGACATTTGAGTCAACTGTAAAAACAATGAAATGAACATTGTGGTTTAGATAAGAACACTTGTACACTATTTTGTCAAATGTTCTTGAATGTGTGAAAGTATAAAATATATTTCTAAATGCTTGATATTGTTGTTGACGAGTTCCTCAGGGTTTCATTCTTGGACTCATTCCACCTCTACCAAAAATAAATGAGTTTAACATCGGCATGCTATTCAACATCTCCATGCCAAAATACCTGGATATTTTACACTGTATGCAGATGACGCCAATAATAATGATGTCAACGAGCAGATTGACTTGACAGAGAAGAGTTGGGCAATTAATTTCGTTGTTCAACAATTTATGTAGGAATATTATGTCTGCATGTGCCCGTCTTGTACTGAGTTTGAGCAATCCAATAGTAGAGTGAATTTCAAAGAGAGAATGACTTCTACCTGGCATGTTCATTTTTGTAGGCAACATATTTAAGAAATTTATTCTGAATTTTCTGAATATCATAATTGTGGTTGAAAGTTGGAGACCAGATACAAGTGCAATACTCAATCACTGATCTAACCAATGCAAAGTATAGTAATTTAATAGAAAAAAATGTTGGTAAAATCTTTAGTTGATCTGCATATGAATCCTAACATTTTCATCGCTTTGTTAGATATGTATACTGTCCATCTTGTCATCCATCATAACACCAAGATCTCGTATGGATTGTACACATTCCAACTTCTTCTTAGTATGCTCCTGTAATAGTTTTTCCTTTTTGAAGATAATTGAAAACAGCCGCCATCACTTTCCCAGCCGAAAAAACAGGTTTTGTTTGTTTTTTGGAGCCGGTGCCCTCTTTGAAGTTCATTCACTGTTTGAACAGTATCTTTGTATCAAATTTCATCTACAGTCATTAATCGTCGCTAAAACTCGGATTTATTGCACCTAAACTGCGCCAACAGAGCGTTGGAAATGTTTATTCAAACAAGTTTTTGGTCTAACGTGAGCAAACGCGGCACCCAACGCGCGAACAGCTTTCTCATGCCTTAATGTTGATTTAATATGTGACACACACGTTTTTTTGACATGTTCATAACCTCTGCTATGTCTCTCACTTCAATTCGGGACGTCTAGCACCATTTGATAAACTTTGACGATGTTTTCATCGGTAGTTGCAGTTTTTGGACGTCCCGAAAGGTTCATCCTCTCCCAAACTCCTACGGTCACGTTTGAATTCAGCTGCCAAAAATTTCACTGTGGTAAACGATGGTGTACAGTCCCCACACACAAAATCCAACTCATATTTGATTCGCGTAGGCGTATTTCCTTTCAAAAATAAATATTTAATGACAGTTCGATACTCGATTTTGTTCATTTTCTTAAAAACACTTACATAAACTCACTCAAACGACTGTTACATAACAAATGCGCGTCGAAAATGACTGAAACTTTGGTGAGTAACTGTCAAAAGATAAACAACGAATTTTATTTGATTTTATTTACGAGTGCTGCCATCTTCACGTTGAGGTTGGAAACTTTTCATATCACCCTTGTACATACTGATTGTAAAATATATAACAACCTACCACTGGAGATGAGGAAAATATAAAGCTCAACAATCTTTAAAAAAGCATTGAAAACCACGTTACTGCATTAATGCAAGATATATTCACCCTTAGGAAGTAGAATATGGCTCCGAGACAGAGGGCCAGTCCACCGCAAGTAGTCAGAGACAAAACGACCAAGGCTGATGCAACCACGATGGGGACCTTGTGCAGCATACTCAACAAATAATCCGACCAAATGACGTTGAAACTAACTGTGCTGGCCATCAATCTGAAAAGAAAACTACAATTAAATGAACTATATAATATCCGATCTCGAAACAATAATCTCTAAAAGTATGAAAAACAACTAATTCCCTGGCTAATACCATGCTAGACATTGCATTATATCACCAATAACATCGACAGTTTGTTGAAAAGGTCAGACTTGGTCGTGGGAAGGAATAAAAAACACATATAATTATCGTTACTGTAGAGATGTGAATTGGCGAAGAAAATACATTAACAAACTCCACAAAACTTAAATGATTGGACCGCTAATTGTCCTAATTACATTGTTAAACCACTCCTCTTTGGAAATTGAAGACGAAGAAACTCTCAATTGTTTTTTTTCTTATGTTTCCGTATTTGCTACTGAAGAACCGATAAGGCAAGTGTCTTACGGCGAAACATCAATGTCTACCAGTGAGGATGACAATGTTCCATGTAAGTGAAATTTTACTTCTTTCATTAATTAAATTGTGTAGGAATCCTGTGAATGATATCTGAATCGATTCCATTACGAAGGTTTGGAATACAAACGGAATAGAGAAAATTGTTTTTCGTATAATAAAGCATTCATATAAAAGTTTTTGTATCGAAAGTGATCTTCTTTTATGTAATTCAATGTTTATATGAAAACAGCTGTTTTGAGAGGGCTGTTTTCCTGTTTGTGTCTAAAAGTTACTTCTTTGCATGATCTACACATCTTTGTATAGAGTTAATTTTNGTTGATTCTTACTGAAAATGTTACATTTATTAAAGAAATCTATCAGTTGTTCAGAAAATGCTAATTCAAACAATTTTGAGAAACTAGGAGGTTGACTTATTGGCCTATAATTTTCCATGAGTTCTATATCACCGTTTTTATATATAGGTGTAACTAAAGACACCTTCAGTTGTTCTGGGAATATGCCAAATTTCAAAGAGTTGTTTACGATATACGTGAGTATTTCTTTCATGTTAGGAATATTTTCTTTGACTAATGCTGAAGGTATACCATCATCCCCGCTACTTTGTTTATTCTTAATCTTGCGTGATAAATTAATTAAGTCTTCCATAGACAAAGGTTTCAAATAAATTGACTGGTTGTTTTCATTTATATTACACTGAAATGGTACATCTGGGATATTTCTTATTATATTAGGTACAGTATTCGTTAGGAACAGATTGTATTCTTCTGCAACCTCTTGTGGTTTCCTTTTTATTCGACAATGAGAAATTTTATTCTTACCTGTAAGTTCATTGCAGAAGCTCCACATGCATTTAGTTTTGTTATCTGTACGTTGCAGTTTTTTATGGTACGTATCTTTTTTGGCTTTAACTAACAACTCGTTATATTTCGATTTAGCAATATTATACTGATCTTTGAAATTTGGATTATTCCCAGACAAAACTAGCAATACATCAAGATTATGTTTACACTGGCTCAGTTCTTCATTATCATCGATATGTTCATGTTTGTGGGTGTATGGTTTAGTTTTTATGTATCTAAGCGAAAAAAATGCAAAAAATGCACATTATTTTGTATCAAGATGGAGAAGTAAAACCCGATTTCACAGAAATTGTCTGCATTCAGGTCAATGATACATAGGGCTTTCACAATACCCCTTTCTGATCAAAACCTCCGAAGTGAAATCACAATAATTAAACAAATAGCAGTTAATAACAAAATACCTACCACTCTAGTTAACAACATAATAATGAAATATCAACAAAAATCAATAATGAAAGAACTATATTCAATTTCCACAAGACCAGAACACAAATATGTTAGTATCAATTATGCAGGTAGAATCTCCGAAAATATTAAAAATTATCTCTCAAAATTCAATCTACAAACATCCTACACATCCAACGGAAATTTAGGAAACAGATGATTCAATGGCAAACTTAAATTAGACAAAGGGAAGAAATCTAGTATATATCGACTAGAATGTGGTGAATGCCCCGCCATATTTTCATTCACATAACACCAGACAATCACAACAGATTAAAATTGAAATCACAAGACTAAATCACTGCCGTTTTTCGAAAAATCACTATGGTTCTATTTTATTTAATAAACTACCAGAAGATATAAAAAACTTAAATACAGCGTCGTTTACAAATTATATGAAGAATATCTGCCTGGAAAACACTTTTTATAGTATCGACGAATTATTATCATCTTATCTTCTTATCTTCAACACCAACTAATATTTTGAATTCTACGTAGACAGTGATATTTATATTGAAATTGTTCACATCTCATTTCCTTATTTGTTTATTTTTTATTTATGTATTTAGTGTTTTTTTATGGTATTCTTATGGTATATGATATTTGACAAAACCTTATAATACTATTGTATTTTTTTATTGGGAATAAAGGATATTTTATTCTATATACAGGCCAAACTGGTAGAAATTTTGATACAAGGTACCATGAACATGTCATTTCGGATAGATAGATAGATAGATAGATACATTTATTTCAACAGAGTATTTTATAATCATTCACAGGAGTGGCAGAAAATTTTTGTCTGAGAAATACGTCAAAAGGAAAATTGTAAAGATATCAAATATGTGTACATATAAATCTAAAAATGAAGCATTCAAAATGAATTGCTTCAAGTTTCAAACACGATTACAAACATATTAAAATGTGCGTCATATTGCGCATGATTACTGAAAGTAGAGATAATTTCTATAAATACATAGCGCAATTTTGAATAAAATTTTGTTTCATAAATTTCCACAGGCCAGAAAATATTCATCAGTATTGTAGGGCTCCAGATTACATAAGAATTTTCTTACAGATTTCAGAAATCTGTTAGCAACGACAATATCTTTTATGTTTTTCGGAAGATTATTATAAAATTTCATTCCAGCGTAGATAGTGCTACGTTCATATAGGGATTTTGCATGGATGGGATATGAGAAGTCTTTTTTTTGTCTTGTCTCGTAAATATGCGTTTTGCGATGTATGTCAAAATGGCCTGGATGATTGATAATAAATTTTATCGATTCATATAGATTGCTGACACAGTAAGTAGTTTGTTGATTTTAAAGGCTCCTCTGCAGGAATTTCTTGTATTTATATTAAAAATTATTCTGATAATTTTTTTTTGACATAGGAAAACTCTATTAAACCCATGACATGAGCCCCATATGATTATCCCTTGTCTCATAGCGGAGTAAAAATTCGCATAATATACTGCAACTAGTGCTTCAAGATCAACATTTTTTTTAGAACTCTCATGGCGTATGTTACCGAGGATAGTTTATTGCAAAGGTTACCTATATGACTACTTCAACTTAAAGTGTCATCAATGTATATGCCTAGAAACTTCACTGAAGTATTATACTACTTATATAACACTATACTGTTATTGACTTTGAACATGATACAATTTGTTTTTCCATCGTTCAGAACTAACTTATTCACTAAAAAATAATCTTTGAATTGTTCTATTATTTTGCTACCTTTTTTATAATATCAGGTAAGTTCGCACCTGTTAATAGAAGATTGGTATCATCAGCATAATTGATCATGTGAGCAGTGTTTATATCTCATGATAAAAAGTCATTAATGAACGAACATCTTCAAACATGCGAAAAATGGAAAATGATGAATCTGTTGGAATCTATGGAAATAAATAGGTCAATGAAAAATCCCAATTCTATTGTCCTCAACGAACAACTTGATCTAAATAATAGTCCTCTCCTGAACCTATAATCCAGTTCCCAAAACCTACATTATATCAAAAGCTTTGTTTTGTTACAGGTATACAAAATGTAGGTACCAAATTATTTATGATACGATAGACAACTTAGGTATAAATTACTCAGATTTAAATGTAATCAGTTAGTTTTGAAAATGGTGTAATAGCCCAAACTAGTCAACAATAAAAACTGCCGGCGATACAGTGGCAGTGGACGGCTGCTCACCGGTATTTTACCGGCGACGATCACCAGTAGGCATGTGTGCAAGGTCCCGTTCCCACATGTGGTTCACTATTGGAATTTGGACGACCAGTACAAAGTCGGCCGTCAAAAATCGGTGTGTGTGCAACTAGCGTTAGCCAACTTCCTCCTGCCAACAAAAAATAAAATCTCGACCCGAAACATCAAAGACACCGACGGGAGTGAATTTACTTCTGTTCACTTATGTACACTTATGTATGTACTAAAAATAAATTTGACCGCAGTCCCACAGACGGCACGTTACCAGTTAAGGGTTTGGGTGGTGAACATAACTATTTAAAACTGAAATTTTTATAAAACATGTTCTTTGAAAATAGTCATTAAAATCATCTATCTATGCCGATAAAAGGTAAAGATAGCTAATTCAACATCAAACTCATTTCCATACAATCACAAATAATTTTTCCTTCAAACTCCAAAATACATATTTTAGTCAATATATGGACTGTCTGAAAGTACAGCTAGTGCCTTCCAATCATTGGAAGATGATGATGAACTTAGATCTACTTCAACAGTAGGACCTCTACAAGAACATTTAGAAGCCAAAGTAATAGATGAGAAAGGTCAAATTGTACCCATTGGTGTACCTGGCGAATTGTGTATACGAGGTTATTCGACGTTATTGGAGTATTATGGAGATGAAGAAAAAACTAAAGAAGTTAAAGGATATGATGGATGGCTGAGAACAGGGTAATTCATTAAGTATATATATAATCTACGGTAAAAGGTGTCATAGACGATTTGTAAAGACCACAAATAAAATTGTGAAATTATTTCAGAAAAGGCAGAACACTATTATATGCATATTATTTGCCACTTTTAGGGATCAGTTTATTTTTACTGAGGATGGTTATGGGGTGGTTGTGGGCAGATTCAAAGAAATGATAATTCGAGGAGGTGAAAATATTTATCCTAAAGAAATTGAAGATTATTTGAATACCCATCCAGATATTTTGGAATCACATGTGAGTACTGACATTACAATCTGATTTTCAAATATATATTTTGTTAATTTCAGAGTTCAAGAATGACTACAGCTTTTTTTCTTAAACTACCTTCTGTAAACATCCCATCCCCTATGAAAAATAAAAGTGTCAAAATTCAATTAAACTTTCCTTGAAAGAACAATTGAATGTATGAAATTTGTTATTGAATGTGATCCAAATAGAGAGTGAAATATTTTGTAGACCATTCTTGTACACCAAAATTATGGGCAATAGTTATTCACATACTCTTAAGAAATATCCCGTTTCATTAATTAAGATTTATTTCTTATAGGTGATTGGCCTACCGCATGCAAGATTAGGAGAAGAGGTATGCGTCTGTTTAAGGACCAAAAATGGGCAAGAATTTACTGTGAAAGATATTCAAGACTTCTGCCGAGGAAAATTAGCAAAGTTCAAAATACCAAGTATCGTAAAAATGGTTGATTCCTTTCCAACGACAACTTCGGGTAAAGTCCAGAAATATAAATTAGTTCAACTTTTGTTGGATAATAAAAAGTAAAAAGGAATGTCTTGACTTTCATTATGAATTGTTTCTCATATTCTAAACTACTTGTGGCAATATCGAGAAAAATGTATATCAAAATGAAAACAATTAGTGTCTGATTTCAAGAATATTTTCAGAGTTATAGAAAATCTGAAAAGTATACCATTTTAACATAATAGTGTAATGAGCAGCATTTTCCTCACCTAAAAATTCTTTGAAAGAAGTAATTTCACAGTAGACTATATTTTTGAATGATAATCTTGGAAATAATAATTTTTTGCGAGTTTAAGTAACTAATATCAGCCTTGTGTTTTGTGTGGGTTATATCAATAATTCGCCTTGACATCTGGGGATTTATAAGATATAATATCAATCGTGTACTCTGAATGGGTTTAAGAAATAATTACCGAAAACCATAGGTACTTGATGATTAGACTCTCAACTTTGAAGTGAACATCAATAAGGAGTTTTGTATTAGTCTGGGTCACAAGATCCGTTTTTGGAACTTCTGTTCAAGAACACCGAAAATTATGATCCAGGGCTCATTCGATTCTGGATGACCTCTAGCAACTTTTTGAAAAATTTCAAGAGGGGCTCAAAAATTGTCTATTAAATCTAGATGAGAAATAGTTCTTCTAGCAGAGGAACTTTTCTAACTCTGTATTGCCATAAAAAAAGTTGTTGAATAAAGTTATTTTTGAAATATCATTAAAAGTATATTGGTCTGAAATACAACTTGAATGACAATTTCTGAAAAAAAAAAACTTAAGAGTATTGATAAACAGTGATAAATCAACTTGTGATTTGATGAAGTGTGATTAATCAGTTTTAGCAATGAGGTTATTCTCTTTTGGCTGCAGGAACTCTTCGCATATTGCCTCCACCATTTCTTCTAATGTATTCTGAATAACTGTTTTATTCCTGAAAATAAAATTATTTTATTGAAGATGAGCATTTGAAAACGTTAACATATATAAAGTAACACTTTTATAATTTACATCATCTAGTTCTGTTATAAGCAACATTGAGATACCTGCATGCATTAGTACATGCATACATGTATGTCTTCTGTTATTGAATATGGCGGCATGTTTATTGAATACAGCTGTAAGATTTTGTTTATCAAAATGCATTATATTATGTTAAAAAATAATGTCTATCAAGGTTCTGAATAATTGTTCTCTGTATCATCGTATAAAAACGTTGAATCGATGTGTATGACGTTTCCCAATAAATTGCGGTCGACTGAAATCATGAAAATGCGTGATTTTATCAGTGTAGGCTCTGTATACAAAATCAAAGGAGTCATAGATGGGATTATTGGCAAACTTGTTTTTGCAGGGTATTTAGAGTTCCTGACTGATTCTGAACACTTTCATCGATAAACTTGTCCTCAATTTGTATTTTCATCAAGGTGGAACACTTTTTCAGAATTATAAATTTTTTTATCAGTTCTTGGTAACATTGTTCAATGGTGAATGAAAAGTAATGTATATTCAATAGCTTCTCAGGTGTTCTGACCTCACATTCTGGACTTTCCATGATGTTATTTGAAGAAACTAAGAGGCCATTGAAAGTTCGCATTGCCGAGCACAAGAAACACACACAGGGAGGAGAAACCAGCAAATCAGGAACAGCAAAGCATGTTTGGACTCACCAACATAACATGAAGTAGGCTCAAGCTGAAATCATCCACAAGGAGGAACGCTGGTTTAAGAGAAAATTCAAAGAAGTCGCATATATGAGTATGCTGTCCAACAACGCATTTAGCCAAGCTAGCGTAGATATACGCAACATAGGAAAACCTCAAATCAAGCGGAACACGACCAACTCCCGCCAAACGGTCAGTTTCTGCTAAAACCGATGAAGCGGAAAGAGGGGATAGGTGAAAGCACTCGAATGACCTATGAATAGCCAGAATGCCCTATGTAACTTCTAAGATGTACCCAAGGCCTCCGTTTTTACAAGGTATTCCATTAGAAAAAATGTTTTTTTTTTAAATTCTTGCCAACTAATGAGGGTAAAAAACGGTACTGTCAAATCCAATAATACTCACTTAATATCAGGGCTGGCACACAATTCCGTATAATACTTGATTTTCGGTTCTGTGCCACTAGTTCTTAGAGTACAAACCAATCCATTCGAGAAATTGAAAGTTATCATTTGGGTGTCAGTTGAAACTGGTAATATGGCTCTGTTGTCGGGTTGGTTGCTATCAAAACCAGTTGTCAAGTCTCTCACAGAAGTGACTTTATATTTATCATTCAATATTCCCTGAGGATACTGGAATGAACAAAAATATCATTAGAATACATATTACTGAAATAACAAGATTTTTGTCATATTACAGGTATTGAATACATTTTGTTGGGTTGAGTCAAACACACGTTATGTTTCTTTGTGTTTGGTTTCTTATGTAAACCTGAGTATTAGAACGAATTACTAGAAAATATATTTGAAGGCAGAATGAAGCATACTTTTGAACAGTAAACATCTTTTAACTTATTTTTCTCTATTACAATTCATTAGCAAAATAAAGGCAACACTTTTACCCACATATGGCACTCCATATACTGGCAAATGTCAGAATGCTAAAATTTGCTATGTAGAACCACTAAAGGTTTGAAAATGCGAAATTTTGAACTGTTCATTAACAGTTGTGCTGACATCATGATTGAGAGCATAGCCTTGGTGATTGGTGGCCACAAAACTCGTCCAGTCAACTCAGGGGGATAATAATTGGGCGGGTTACTGCTGACGATTTCCTTAATCTTGTCGTAATCTAGAAAACCATGCTTAGCCTCTTGAACCACTAAAATCACACCCCTAACTCACCGATTATAATAGGTTTTTTGGTCTTTAACGTATGTTCTCTGTTACCTCGTGAAGTAGGAAGATAAATATTTGTGATCGTGGTCTTTTCTTTTAATGCCCTTCACGATTTTACATCCATCCCCAACCCATAAACGCTTCAACCCCCAAATATTTTCCTGGTTTCTATCCTAGAACTACAGGAGCAAACGATACAGCAAGCTGCAAAATTTGTGATACTAATTTCTTATCTTTCAAGGGGTGATGTTTTGCTCAGTTTCTTAAGAGTACATTCTTAGATCAAAGCGTGGTATGACGTGCGGTAGATCGTTACCATGGACAATGCAAAAGGTGCACAAGACCTTTAACTGAAATAGGGCCGAAGCCCCTGAATTTCTTACCCGAAAAAATATAAGGCTTCGGTTCGAAGCCTTATATTTCAACCATCTCCAGCGAATCTCCTTCCTGATATTTAAAAACCAAAATCTGTGAAAAAAAATTATTTCACGATCAGATTCAGGGTTTATGGGTTGAACCCTTTTGAGGATTGGAGGTGGTTGCCGAGGGTGGGAACTTTTGTAAGGTCATCATGAATATAAAAAAAACCTTAACCATAAATATTATTTACTATCTCACGTCAGGAAGAACATGGGGTGTCTGTAAAAGATGCTAACAGGACCTGGTAAGTTTTGCGATTTTAGGGATTGAAGTGGCTGCGGGTGGTTTTCTGGGTTGCGACAAGGCAAAGAGTTTCATCAGCAATAATCAACCTAACTTTTATCCTCATGAGTTGACTGAATGATTTTGAGGACTTTTCTCAAGCGAGGAATCAGCAACCATGGAAGCACAAACCACTTAATACTTTTTCATAGCCATATTTAAGCTTTCTAGCATATGACTCTCCAGAGATATACTACTGGGGACACGTGTTCTTTTAATTTTGCTTACGAGTGTACTTCATTACAAAACTATTTCATTTCATATATCAAATATTGCGCATATCTTACCGTATTCTCTACATATTTGAGCTTTCTAGCATATGTCTCTCCAAAGATATACTACTGGGTACACGTGTTCTTTTAATTTTGCTTACGAGTGTACTTCATTACAAAACTATTTCATTTCATATATCAAATATTGCGCATATCTTACCGTATTCTCTCCTCTGAAATTTCGTATTCTGTGAAAAATTTTCTTAATGATGACCGGATCATGGCAAATGAAATACGAATTACTTGATACATGTTGTCCATAAATCAAATAAATCTCATCAAGTTTTTCTGCGAGGGTTTTATTTTCGTTATAAAGATAGGAAGCCATAGTAGTCAACTGAAAAGCAGCCGATACTCCATCTTTATCTACGACTTCGGTAGAACACATAAAACCAATGGCTTCTTCAAAACAGAAAATAACCGTCTTTCCTTCACGTTCCAAGTCCAACGCCTTGTTACCTACGGAAAGTAATGAATGTTGTAATAACTCGTATAATGAAATTTCAGAAAATGTTTTGTTAAAATAGAAATCCAATAAAAGAACGCATTTCTGCTCATATAAATTATCTCTGAACACAAGAAAACTGATTCATACTATTCAATTGATTCTAGTAGTTCATGTTTTGTACATGATTTAACCTTTTGGAACGTTTTGAATACTTTTGTTCCAAGAATTTTATCGACTGTAGGTTAAGGTAGTCTTCAAGTTTGCATGATTTCACGTTTTAAACGTTTTTGTATATTTGAATAGTGGACAATTTTCAAGTCAAATGGGCTTTGATTAGTTGGAGACGATCCTGTCCATTAATAGACTGTTATTTTGTAATATGTCCACGCAAGTGTGCACGAAGGGAAGACAAGGATGCTCGCGCATGCAGGGATGGGAGTCCAGACTCGCAATAGGGAAGCAGTACAGCGTCACTCGTAGAATAAGACGAAATTGTTTATCAATAATTCATTGAAAGTATAATACAGTCCACTCACATCATTTCACAGTTTGTGCATGCTCAACAAAGTTTGTTCAAATAGTTTTGATAACTGATTACTGATATCCATCCTTTGATCATTATATAGATAGATAGATAGATAGATACATTTATTTCAACAGAGTATTTTATAATCATTCACAGGAGTGGCAGAAAATTTTTGTCTGAGAAATACGTCAAAAGGAAAATTGTAAAGATATCAAATATGTGTACATATAAATCTATACCTGCGCACTCACCGCTTCCACCACTTTGGGCTTAGTGAGGTCCCATATCATGTACGGTAGGTATAGGGGCCTCAATGTACAAAAACCTAAGTCTGGTCAAATACATGCAGGTAGCCGCTCACTGGCTCTTAGACTATAAACCGAGAGCTGAACACAACATCTATTAGTGCTAAGACGAAGTTCGACGGGTCATTTGATGGTAACAGGACACCTTTCAGATTTAGATAGTTGATTCCAGAGTATCTGTTCTTGCCAGTGATATTGCGAAATTATTTCATGACGTATACAACAAATGGTATACTCAGAGTGCTGTCAAAATTTTCTGTGAATAGGTCATAGTTGTCAGTAACCTAAAGACAAACCAGTTTCAATTTGCTTGTTCTTTATTAAACATTTCTACTCGAACTGTAGTGCTATAAAAGGTGTCAACATAAACAAGATTTGGAATTTTTCCTCTATCCAAGGTTTTAGATATGTTACCGAAAAAATACGTTACAGAAAAAATATTGAATTATCATACTCAATATGAACACAAACCGAATAATATTCGTGAAATAAAGTATTTTTATTTAATACTCACCTATCCATTTGAAGCCTGTCAAAGTATCTATAAATTGGAATCCTTCTGCTTTTGACATGGTTTTCAATATCATTGAACTAACCGTACTCGAAATCATGTAGACGTTATTCAAGGGTTCATTTGGAAACCTCTTTTTGAAACAGAACAACATCCACCAACCAAAAAGAGCTCCTAATTCATTACCGGTGAAAACCTTCCATTCGCCAGTTCTGAAAGAGCGTGATAATTTTACTGAATGAAGTTTATTGAGCAAATGTAATTATAGACCAAGATTAGAAAATAAGATACGTATTGTGAACTAATTTTTGATTATGACAATTTTTTTCAGTTTCTGGAGGTTAGTGAATCATTTGATGGTCATGAATAATTCCAAAGTCCATAGTAAAGAGTAAAGATACTTACTGTCGATTTTTTTCTGCAACTGCTAACCTGTCTGCATCTGGATCATTGGCTATTATCACAAAACTGTTATTTTGATTTGCTGTTTTGAAGGACAAATCCAGACTGCTTTTCCCTTCTTCTGGATTAGGGAATCTAAAACAAACCTCCCTATAAGGATGGAAATTTGTGGAATTTGTTGAGAGAATTCAAACCGAAATCACTGTCATATTACTGCGAAAAAAAAAATTGATTTGTATTTGATTTGAGATGTTTTTAAATAATAACTTTGCGACCTTCGATGAAAATTGTATACTAACTTCTATTACCACAATTTGATGATGACGACCTTTTTTTGCTGGTCACTTCACTATTATTTTGAATATTTTTATATGTTACAAGTCCAACAAATTTGATAAGTGCTTGCAATATCATTATGTTCTCAAAGTGAAAGTCTGCACATGCGTACACCGACAGTGTAGTCAATATTATTTGTAACGGAACCCTGTTTTTGGTAGATATTGGCTTTTTGCTATTATATGTGAAGTATGACATATAATTTGAAATATTTTCTCAACTTCGTCTTTCCACAATGAACGTTTGTCATTTCATTTCCAGAAAAATAATCTACCCCAAATTAATATCTTGAGAAATATTTGGTTACATCGAAACACCCCAAATTTACGACTACAGCGCATACGTCACTTTTTCTGTATGTATTATGAACAAGCAAAATCATTTATTTTATTCTCCATTATTAGGTCGAAGGTGAAGTAAAAGTTTGGCATATGAATCAGACATAACATAGTCTCCTACTTCGCCAAATGACCAGACATAATATGAATATTACTGGAAGTTTATCCCAACCCCAAACCGTTATTCTTAACACCACGACACGTGTTTCGATCACCAAGTAATCATCTTCAAGAGGACTATTGAACTAAATATACATACAATGTTGTCTTTATTCATATCATACCTCTGCTAGATACCTGTCTCTTAAATTGTCTTGAAATAATTTTACAATGTTGCCTCATCTACTAGTCTTGAATTAATTTTACAATGTGGCCCTATCTAATAGTCAGGTAAAAATTACGAATAAAATATTATTTCAACAAGCTATATAGTAGAATATTAGGTATTGGTCCACCATCGTTATACATAATATTATACANATCGGTCAGAAATAAAATTATCTATGTACCACGGGAATTAATGAGCCTTAATAACCTCAGGCAATTGCTGTCCCTCGGGCCAGAGGCCCTCGGGCGCAAACTTTGCCATCGGTAATTAAGACCCTCCTAATTCCCTTGATACATAAATAACTATTATTTATTAGAGTTACCGATCTATCGGACAAGGCCACGTTGTGAAATCAATTTGAGACTAGAAGATAAGGCAACATTGTAAAATCAATTTAAGGCAATTAGGGCGCAGGTACCTAGCAGATGTATCTATGGTTTGAATAAGGGCAACATTTTATGCATATTTAATTAAATCGTTCTCTTGAAGATGATCACTTGGTGATCGAAACACATGTCGAGGTGTTAAAAATAGCGGTTGGGTGTTACTGGGATGAAACTCCAGTAATATTCATAACTAGACCACAGGTTCCAGAGCATAATATGCCAAATAAAAAAAGAGGTGATGTCCTGTCAGAATTTCATTCTTTTGGATTGGATATGAAGTTGATATGAAATTTGTCAAATTGGTAAAAGTCATATTGATTCTGCGATTGGAAAAACATTGCATGACTGTGTTATCAACTGTATAAATTGTTCACCTTCTCCTCCCGAAATTTTTTAAAAGATGACAACTTCTTCCAGTGTGTTATTCAGACTATTTGTTTTTACTCACTTTACTGTTGGGAAGTCTGGGTGAGGATCTTTCTGTTCCAACACTGGAACAAACTTAATTTCTGTCTCTTCAAAAACTTTTTTGATGTATCTGTAGCCTACACCGTGCATAGCTGTGTAAGTGAATAACAAACCAACGTTTTTGTTCAATGTTTTGTGTTCAGGAAGAATAGTATTCCTTATAATCGCTAGATAACTCTGCACTATATCATTCAGAGGATCATCAAGTTGTGAATCTCTTGAGGATAATATAGATGTATCCCAGGAAGAATCTAGAGGTTCCAGGTTCAGCAAAATTGATTGCTGAACATATTCGTCTACAGGAGAAACTATTTGCGCACCATTGGGTCCATATGCCTGAAACAGAAACCAATTTTGAGAATCATATGGAGAATGTATAGTACTATTGGACTTTCCAAAGAAAATTTCTCCATCTTGAAAACATTAAGAATACCCAAGATCCATAACTGTAGGTTTTCAGGGAAACACATTTTCTACATCCACATCACTCAAATTTTTTGAATGGCAGTTTACCATGTTGCAGGAATTGAAGAAGATAACAAATAATATATAACAAACAAAAAAATGCCGTAGAACCAGATGGATTGAAAAAATATTTCTTTTTCATTGAATTATTTTTTTTTAAAGGACAAAATACATGCACTACAGGAAAAACCTTGAGGCGCTCTAAGAGCGGTGCCTATGCGAAAGTAGCGATTCACATTGGATTTGTGTATTCCACATAAACGCAGTTCTCCAAATGAGGTTTGAGGTGTATTGAGTTGAACCTTAAAACGATGAGCAGCCATCTCTTATTTCTGATATGTACCGCTCTTGGTAGAATCAACACTTCCTGTGAAATTATCTATAGAAGAGAGAAAAAATTTTAATCTTTCTTCGATGTTCCAGACTATCAAGGTTGCAAGTGATGTTTGCGTCTTCTATCATGCGGATGGCTCTTTTCTGGATGGAATCCAACAGCTTCAGGGTATGCTTAGGGGCGTAGCTCCGTACATGAGAACGATACTCCAAAGAAGGTCTGATCTGAGCTTCATAAAGCATCAAGTTGCTGAGGTGTGTACAGTTTTCTGGTTCGGAGTGTTCCAAACCTTTGAGAAGCAACCTTATGGACTGGCCACAGAGATCGGCGGTGCGAACGTCGAAGCGGGGGACGAGGCGACCATTCGCGCGGCACCGTTTGCAGGCCACGGGCAGTCACGTTCGCCGCCGCGACCAATAGTCCGACAGCGAAATGTCTTTATCGAATCTATCTGGATATTGATTAGAAAGTAATAGTTTTTTAGTTCAAGACCTAATATTTGGAGAAGATTGTGAAGTACATGATTTGAATAAGAATCGGGGTATAGATGGAGAATTCCACAAGAAGTAGAAGTAGAAATACAGATTATATCCTGAAAAATTTTTTGAGTATACCAGGATGAGTATTGAAACCTTCGATTATATTCTTATGAATATTCAACCAGAATTGGAGAAAAAAGTTAATGCAAATAGAATTTTAAGTGCCGATGAAAAATTGTTTGTGACATTAAGGCATGTACTTACCTATTTATACATATCCATCTATAATAATACCGTCTTTATTATCTTCTAATACATTCAAATCAAATTAATCATGTACAGTTCATTTATCATAAGAAGACAAAAGGCGAAGTTCAATTTACATGATGACAATTCATCATTCAATTGCTCTTCCAATTGCTCTATATTAATCTACATTACGTATTCATCTATATACCTATGTATAGAGGTAATATTCAATTAGCTGATCATATTTTGGAGAATTACCTATAGGATCCATCAATATGAACAACTTTTCCCAAGAAAGTAATGGCCGCAAACGAATTTTTTTATAACTAAATTTATTTGGAACTATCTTTGCCCAAAATATTATCAGCTAATCAAATGTTACCCTGTATATTAATATTTCATGAAATAAAAACACTTTCAGATAATTATGTTATTTATTGCAAAAATCTAAATTATATGATAGTAATTTATCGTACAACTAAAACAAAAAACAACTTCTAACTTGTAATTGACGGTAGAATGAATTTCTAACTTTTTAATCAGTCTTCCAAATAGCTAGTATTTCGGCAATAAAAGTCTCGGTGTTCATTTTTCGCGGCGAAAACAAATAAACTCGATTGATCACTGCACTATTCGCCGCGACTACCGCTCGACTCCATGGCTTGCGCCGTACTGATTCTGTCTTTGTTTTACTCGCCCGTTCGCGCCGCAATTCGCCCACGCGGTTCGCTTGCGACATTTGGTCGGTCGCTTCGCCGGTCGCCGTTGCGCGTGGCTTCATTGCTATGCGTTTGTTTCAGTTGATAGACGTTTCGCCGTTCGCACCGCGCGAATATTCGCATCGGCGAGTGTTCCGTGGCCAGGCTGTTAGCATTCCTGCGACATGATTGTGCAAAGACATACTGGTGTCAATTTTTCTCCAACGAACTCATCGCAGCATAAAGCGGAATTGTCTGTCCCAACATTATTATATCCGATTCGATGAGTATAAATATATCTTCGCACAATTTGAAATCATTAGGAAAACAAAAGTCAGGTTAGATTTTTTGAGCGTGTGCTAAGTTAACCTACAAAATATTGATTAACCTACAAAATATTCGGTTGAGCTAACCGATCTGAAGATCGGAAGGTTTTTTTTTGAACTGTGTTATACCTATTTACTCTCCTGGGTATCTATGATTGAGGAAATGTATAACTGGAGCTGCCATAGTTTATCTATAGTGATATTTTTATATTGTTCCATGATATGTGTTATACGAGTAGCTATATCAATAGCTATATCAATATCGTTTTTTAAAAGTTCGGCATAATTTTCACTGATCAGTAGACCCTCAACTAAATAAAGGCCTATGATATGATTCGCAATTACTGCAAACTGTAGCGTATAGATTGAATCCAAAGCACTTTTCTCAAACATCACAACATCGTCTATTGTTTAAACTTTCATTTTACCATTTATACAAAGATATAGATTATAGATGATAGATATATAGATGACAGACTATATGTTCAACATTCAGGTTTATCGCAAATGAAACGTAGGTACCACCATTTTGATTTGTGAGCTCAGAATAATCTGAAATTGTGGGATAATATTTTACTTGACGACGTGAAAATCTGCAAAAGATGTATCACGCATGGTATGTGTGATACATGGAGTTGGAGGTTTGCGAGGAGTATAGCTATGAATAGTGTTAGGGCAAAAAATTGTTCTGAAAACCTTTATTTACGGGTCTCGGGAAATTTAATATTGCCATCCGTTTCGGAAATGTTCAGTCATTGAGTCATGAAACAAACACTATCGGTAGATAGGTAGAATAATTTGATATTCAGTTTAATTTTTCATATGATGTGACTCATTCACATGAAGGATATTATATAAATGAATTTTTTCAAACAATTTTGTTTGTATGTATGTTACCTCAATATGAATCTGTGTATTAGTATATTTTCCACTATTTTAAACGGAAGTATATATGTGGGTCGTATTCCAATCCTGAACTCTTGAGTAAACAAGGTGTATTGCCTAGTATGCAGATTTAAGTATATTAAATGTATGTGAGTAAATCAAAATGATTTCTGTTTATGCAGTTTTTGCAAAACTACAAGAATTGTGCAATAACAAATTCTTCATATGATCATCATAGGCGAATTGCTAGTCCTTCCTAAAATAGTGTATTGAATTATTTGATTGCACCAACACCCTTTTGGAGTGTCGCATTTTTAAAAACATTTGTTGATAGTTATCAACATCAATGGTCGAAGTGTTACGAATATGATATGGTAAATGAGGTCAGTTTTATCTGTTTTGGATTTCATTTCCGTTAAGTGTAGATGAGTGTTTTGGAAAATCATCAGTTCTAGAACTCATTCTTTGATGAGATACGGTATTTCTTATTTCTTTTATTCAAGAATTCGCGATGTTTTATATTTCGTTCATTTTGGAACATTCATGACACCTCATTTTGAGTCGAAATAATCTTCTAAACTTTCAACAAAGAAATTTACTTTAGAGTTATCACCTACATATCCTACCTCCAGGTAGAAATGTTGGGCCGATTTGGAACCCTAATGCAATGATCAGATCAATATTCTTACATATAGGCAGGTCGCACAGGCCAAAAGTGACATGGAGAATGGCGTGGAAGTATAGTGAAGAATTGAAAGACCTGGCGGACTGGAGAAGGTTGACTTTGCACCTACTTTAACACAGCAGGGTTCAGCTCAGAATGATTTCGGGGCAATTAACCTGACACAGATCATTCGGGGATCAAATATTTAGCAGATTCTATAACTTTCGAGATTCCTGATAAGACTTTGAAACATTCAATATTAATACTCCATAAATCGTATAGTATGTAAAATGATGAACTGAGGGGCAGAACCGATTTCAAAACAAAAATGCTAAATATGTATTCGATAGAACTGACCTTGTAACCGTTATCCTCTTTTGGATTGTGAGATGCTGTTATCATAATACCACTGGCACATTTGTATTTTCTGACAGAGAATGGAATGAACGGTGTGGGAACCACTTCGCTGAAGAGTTTCACGGGATGACCAGCATGAAGGAAAATTGATGCTGTCAGTTCTGCCCACCTGAAAAAATACATAAAATGAAGGAAAATATCTCCTGCTGATACATTTCTAATCCAGTATGTTTATTGATCCAGGCTTTCCAATGTGTTACCTGGACATTTCGTCCATTGGAACCTCAGACGAAAAACCTGTTTTCGTCTGAGGTTTTGAGAATTGAAAGGTATTATCTCCTTAAAAGGTCACCAATTAAACAAGAGCTGAGGATATGAATTTTGTGTATTCATTTATAGGCACAACTTGTGAATACAAGTTACTGACTAATTGGACTCATCAGTGGTTTATATCACGCAGTAACTTTTTGGGGTGAATTTTTCAGTTTGGTCTTTATCAAACTTTAGCAGATTCTCAATTGATTCAGCTTTGTTTATTTTTTTCACATCGTGGAAGATTCAATAATACCCAACAAACCTCAAAATACACTGACTCCTGCACAAAACATGCCAAATAATATCAGTTGTTTGCTGGGATAAAATCATCTGCCATTTTTCAGGACACAACAGCATTTATTCATCTTAGTCGCGTTTTTTTACGAAGCGTAGAATGTCCTGATAATAACTCAGAAGCTTATATTCGGCCTAAAATTGCACAAGAAATGTCACAGTATCCGCTGTTTGAATCCAATTCAGTTTCGTGAAAATTGTTCTGATAACCTTGCTCATCCAAGATAAACGAGGGTTCCTACAGTGATGTGTGTTGCAAAGCCGAGGATTCGACATCGACTTCCGAATGAGAAATCGCTTTGTCTTTCTCTGCAGCTTCCACTACGTGGGCTAGATTTAACTTTGATCATTTACGATGTCGATGTTATCATGATGTCCGTGTCAATTAATGGTTGGTACAGAGCAAACTACCACTGGTAGTTTGCTTTTAGTAGTATGCACTGTAAGGTTACAACTAGAGCGCTATGGCCAACAAACCCAGAAAATATCTTTGACACAATTTCTTCAGTTTTTCTCTCAGATGTTCTCTAGGTGAAGGTTTTCTCATTTGAGATACCGAGTGGGGTTTCCCAGTGCTCTTTATATTTCTCATTGACCAATTACCTGATCTGAATCTGAATGTTGCATTCACACATATAGTTTAGGGCCAATACTCGTATGTGAAGTAGATGAAATGTTTCTGAAACACTGACATCAAGTTAGAGTCAACCTGTTTCTGACCGCCAGTTGTTACAATCCTTCACGAGATTCCCAGACTGTTTTTGAGTATTAAACACCTTGAGTATTTAGGAATATTGATCCACTCATTGCATTAAGGTCCTTAATTGACGTTCTTTGTAGATTTCAGGTCTAGCACCCTAAATGTTGATACCTTCACAGCTTGTTCAAGGCACACGAAGTTGATAAACCCTATCTAACACATTTATCAGTTTTTTCTTTGCGAGTGTCCTGGAACTCAGTAATAGAGTCAAGCTATTCCGGTCAGCCTCTTTCTTCAGTTTTTCACGGCTATCCCAGACCCGTTCGACATTACTCTTGGGTTCATCAATACAGGCTGGCTGTCTATAAGAATATTGATCCGCTCATTTCATTGAAATCAATATTCCTGGGACATTACAAGAGTGCATACACTTCCGCCTGAAAGACGGATGTGTATTGGTCAAGCGGTAGCTTGGGTGAAATATTCTCTCCGCAGATTATTCACCAACAATCTTCGGTTTTCGACTCATCTGCATATCGAGCATATTTTCGGGATGACTGACCATTATCCATTCTTCAAGATTTGTAACTGTGACCCTGAAGTTTATGTCGAAAGTGTACTTTGGTATCATGTGATCCGTGAACATACTTGATGTGTTCTTTCACACATACCAATATTCCAATGTTGGCCCATTTCTTTGTATCTCGATGAATTTTCCTTGTCTGAATTGATCCACTCTTGCCTCACCCTACATTAAAAGATTCAAAGTGGGTTATTTAAAAAATATCTGTAATGCTTCTGTTAGTGTGGTTCAATCATCGCACTGTCTTCAAAATGCAGTCTTTGTCTTCGATGCGGATGGTAAAGAATAAATTATTCCTAGGTATCAATGTTTGACACATATTAATGGGGTCCGATATTTCCACATTCTATAAAAATTGTGATTCATTAGCAATTGTCAGTGTCAATAAAATTATGATGATGATCAATTGTCATCTTAACGTGAAGATCTGAAAGAGATTCCTCAGTGCCGATGAAATTATGATGATGATCTACGAGTCTGAAAATGTTTTTATCAATAAGCCACAATACCAGAGTCTACAAGTCTACATTCACGAAACAATTTCAGAGAGGGTTGATTTTAACTGTAATAGCTCTCATCAGTTCTGCTGAGGCAGATCATGAATACAACAGTTGAACTTTTTTTCTCCACAAAGACAATCATGACCAATAAGTGAGCATGACAAGATGATGAATACGGAATACTTGATATCGACATAAAACTTAAATCACCCTTATCAGAAATGAACGAGGAACCCAATGTCGGCAAGCATATTTGTTCCAGCAACATTGTTCTTACCCGAAAGTTCAGATGACCAGATCTGTCGGAGTTTGTGTTGATACTCGCCACGAAGAGAGTTCTTCACCATGTTACATCTTGTGAGTAGCGTTGTTCCACGCCGAGGTGAGTATACGTCTTTCCGGCATCCAGATGGTGCAGAATGCTTCCATCTATGAGTAGCACATCCTTCGCGTAGTCTTCCCGCATCGACCTATCTTGAGATGGACCATTGCACATTTGCCTATCCCGTATTTCATACCGATAGCACCGTGTACTCTTTCACCACCCTCAACGAATAATATGGATCTCTTCCTCCAGAAGCATAAAGTTTCAGATCATCCATATAAAACAAATGGATGACCTTATGCCTCCGGTTTCCAGGGGTACCACACTTATATCTTCGAACATTTTTAAGTGCAATGGATAAGAGCAAAAGTGAGTTGCAGAAGAGAAGGAGAATGAGAAAACTTCACTGCAATACACCTTTTTGAAAGTGACCCATCCTGTTTGGACTCTAGCCTTACCAGATGTTATGTAAAGCGAGTCCGCCAGACTAGTATTAGTTGTTTAACGCATCTCACTATATTTTGGGGTATCGCAAGCATTTGAGCAAATGCAAGCAATTATTATCATCATTATATCATTTCATCAAAAAAAAATACAATCAAGAAGTCATTAAAACTAAAAATGCATGTTTAAGGAGCTCAAGAAAGTCCTATGGTCTGGGGTTCGCGGTTAAACAGTGACATTAAATGGTGGAAACACCATGTATTAGAACGGAAGGAGCGCTAACGAATATTTTTGTAGTGCATTCTCAATTATTTTTTCAGCCCTTGTTATAGCTTCAATTAATTAAATTTTTAAAAAACCCAACTATTTTCCGTGACTCCATATAATCCTCAATAAGCGTTTTTTTCAACCAGACACTTGCACTATACCACAATAGAAACTCACCTTTTACTGTTATGCCTCCCATCATACCCGATGACAATTCCATTTTGTTTCAACAGTTCGCCATCAGATTTCTCCAAGTATTTCAATAAACCTTGTCCAGTTTGAATAATCACTAAATCATTCATGCAAGCATATCCGACGGACATTCTTCCTCTCAATCCCGCTGTGCCGAAAGATATCCTTTTCAGAAGAATCCGTGATAACTCATCTGTTTTCTTTTGGGACACTAAGTCCCTCAAGGCGGATAGAGTATTTTCATTTTTGTCCCACTTCAACCATTCGGCGATTTTTGCATCGAGATCACAACTGGCGTTGCACATGACAGGAATGTTTTTTAATGTACTGTAACAGATATCGGTATCAGTATCACATTGAAAGTAAGAAAAGAGGTGGAAAAGTATTCCTCACTTGATAAGAAATCAGTTGTTTGTCAATTGATCAGGGCCGGCGTACCCATTAGGTGACCACCTAGAGCGCCAATTCTACTTTTCATTTACAAAGTCCAAATAACAATTGATGGAAATGACCATAATAAGTAAACAACTACAGTAATTCGACTTGGCAACTACGCAATATTTTCCAGAAAAATGCCTGTGACGAAGGGTTTGAAAACCATGCAGGAGAAGTGTCAGAGGCATTGCACATTCTACAAGTTCTACAAGCAACGGCCATTCAAAAAGTATATCAAATACAACGATTGGCTTGTTCAAAGATCACAGGCGTCATGAGAGAAACACTAACCGCGGCAATGGAATTATTTATTGGTCTATCCCCTCTGGACCTTTACGTTAAGAAGGTTGTGTTAATGACCATGTTACGATTGCACACGGCTGTTGTAAACCTTGAAGTAGAAATGGGTCAATTGAGGCTGAGCCTATGGTGAGAAGCGCACACTGCGCAACTTCTGCTGCAGGCAAGCAGTGATGCAATTGTACCCAGGTTTATGTTCAATAAACCCTACAAAATACAAATAAAACAGAACACAAAGTCAAATGCTACAAATGCAATAGGCAATAGGCATATATACAGACGGCTCAAAAACCAAAGGAGGCTCAGGATGTGGAGTGTACTTCAGATCACTAAGCCTAAGAATTGGGCGGAGAATGGGAAAAAATACCAACGTGGTTCAAACAGAACTGGCTGGTATCTCAATCGCCGCAAAAGAAATAACCAGGAAACGAATTTCTGGCAACAAAATAACAATCTGCACTGATAGCAGACAAGCCCTATTAGCCTAGAACAGACAATGTGTTACCTCAGGGATAGCACTAGAGTGCCACCAAGATTTAGCCAAAGCCTCGGTAGATAATAACATTATCCTGAGGTGGATTAAAGGGTACGACAAGAGTAAAGATAATCGCATTGCCGACCCTTCAGCCAAGGAAGCGACTGCACTAAGAATTTCAGGACTCAGTGGCACCTACGGCCTGATGATAGTGAGTTTGTATCGCGGATTGATCAATTGATTATTGTTTCTTGTATTATAGTTATGCGTATCGAGTGAGTATGGTAGATACCAATGTTCTTGTGGATCTGTAATAGGCAATAAAAAATATACCCTGAATATAGTGACATAATTTTGAATTCATAATTCGGTGAAGTAGTTTCTACAAGATTCCTTATACCCCACGCCTTTTTCTGTATTCGGAGAACTTTAAGTGAGAGACTAGAGTTTCCCCATAGTCGTATACCATAAGTAATGTGTGAATTGAACAGGGCAAAGTAAGATATTCTCAATACTTCGACACTGGTTACTCTTTTCAGTTGTCTTAGAAGATGGAGTTGATAAAAAGTTTAGAGCACAGTTGGTCAACATGACAGTTCCATTTTAAAGAATGATCCAAGGTTATACCCAAAAGTTTAACTTTATTAGCAGAGTTCTCACGACAGTTAGTTGAAATGGAAATCCTTTGGCATTTATTAGGGTTTTTTTCAATTTGTTCAATTCTTCCGCTCTACTCTCTGCCAATTCCATTGAATTTGACAATATTTCCTTATTAACATGTGATTCGTATATAGTTACATCTGCAAACATCATGAATGATGACGGTGACAAGTTTTGCGGTAGGTCATTGGTATATAAAATAAATAGGAGAGAACCTGATACAGACCCTTGGGGTACCTCATGTTTGATGATACGAAACTCTGGTATTGCACTGTCTGGAATCTGTTGGTAAGTAGAAGGAGAAAAATTCGTAAGATGTTCCACGTATTCCGTAATATTCGAATTTCTGAAGAAGTATCGTATGAAAAACACAGTCAAAAGCCTTGCTGAGGTCGCAAAGTGTTATGGCAATTACTTTACCTGCTTCAAGGCTCCCAACTATGTCGCCCACCACCTCCTCCACGGCTTGAACCGTGGATCTACAACTTCTGAAACCGAACTGTCTATTATTTAGAATTTTACATTTTTCTAAGTACAGTATTAATCTGTTTTTCACAATGTCAATCCACCGTAGAATTGACATCGACACCGAGGAGGTAATTGATTTGTTTGCTGCAAAGAAAGCTAAAAAACTAAATTTGATTTTGTAAAAAGATGTTGATATTTTCGTAATGGTTTTATAATAACACAATTTTCTTTTTTGTGATATACTGTTTGGAACCTTTGGTGTAGTAATGAATATTACCGGAGTTTTTTCCCAACACCAAATCGTTATTTATCAGCAACCGAAGACTTAAGAATATTTACGTGAACAAAATTTGGAAAAACTGAATATTTTTTACAGCTCTTTAGAAACCAAATATCTGCTTGTATTAATCTAATTTTAGTTGAATACTTACGATACAGATTCAGTTCCGTTGACCTGGCCGTCATTATGTACTTGTGATATACTGTTTGGAACCTTTGGTGTAGTAATGAATATTCCCAACACCAAATCGTTTTTTATTTTATCTTCCTCTTGAAGATGATCACTTGGTGATCGAAACACGTGTCGAGGTGTAAAAATAACGATTTGGTGTTGGGAAAGAAAATTCCGGTAATATACAATTTTCTTTCTTTCTTTATTTTTATATTTCATGTTTTTCTACTGTTCCACCGAACCAACCCCCCCATCCCTCCCCCGAAATTGTTTTCTGGCTACGGCCTTGTTGCACATATCATATGAGAATGGAAAATAACCAAATATGTTGAGGTTGTCAAAAAAGCAATTTGTTGAGTAAAATGATGCATCTACTTTAACTTTAGAGGGGCATTTCAAAGTGAACATTTAGTAAACTGTTCTGGACAGGGCCAAAAATTCAATTGGATAGACAGATAGACAGCTACTCCAGTAACGTCTGTGTTTGGAGTATTGACTGAGATTGTAGAGTTACGAGAATGAAATGAATCGAAATCTTTGCTCAGTGATTGCATGGAATTGGAATCAGTGTTGCCAAAGAAAGATTCGAACGACATTGAAGGTCTCCAAAAAGTTGACAATGATGAAATTGTTAAATCATATTGAAGAAGAAAGGAAAAGTAAACGTTTAACTTCAAAGTGAAACGAAAACCTGAGACATCGAATGAAAAAAAACACCAATAAATACAATACAATACACTTTGTTAGGTAAAAATCAGAGTTGGCAAAGGTCATGTTTTTTTTTAATCATTGATTTTTGAAAAATTATGAAAAAACTGATTCTGTATTCTTTGAATAAATTTTTTCAATAAATACCCTTCAATTATTATTTTATCTCGCAAAAGAAATCAACTTGAAAATTTATTGATTCTGAAGTCTCATCGAAAAATATAAAATAAGTAGATTTTTGTTAGAAATTCAAAATTCAATGATTCAATGATAATTTATGCCTTGAAAGTAATATAGCACTTCAGTGATTATTTACGTAGAAGTAATGGTATCTTGAACTAATATAATTAGTACCAAGAGATCAATTTCAAGGGTACTATATTTATATTTTTGGTATACTTCATAATACAATATTTGTTTTTGTGTTTTGAACAAGAATTTGACTTGCAACTTTTTAGTTGGCAAACGGATATATCATTTTCCCAAAGATTGAAAGAATACAGGAATAGTTTGTTGAATGTAAGGACCCAGTCCACCTTCGCAAACCAACTTTTGACAGAGAACCATGAGTTCAAGTATGACTATGACGTAGTACATTTGGAATAGAAAGGTTTGAAACACGATCTTTTTGAATGCGTTGAAATCGATATATTCGAATATTCTGGAAAGTTACTGAATGACCAGATAGAATTAAATTCTTCCCCTCTGTTAAATATTCTTTCTAATGTAGAAATTGGTAATCAGTTGGTAACATTTCTTTTATACATTTCAATCAGTTTATACCTTGGTTTATACCTATACTCGGGTAAAATTATTAGTCATTACGTAGGGAGAAGGTTATACGATGCAAATTGTTGTACAAAACACTAATTATGAAGAATTCAGTCAGTATGAACACGCGAAGTGAATCAGGTGTTGTAGTTTTATAAACCTTCAGTGTTACTTGAATACATTAATTTCAACAATTTCGGTTGTGTCTTCTGACGTTAAACTTATAGTTGCTACACATTCAATCTTATATGCCTGGGTTGGGAAAATTGTCGAAAAACGTGATTTTTGCCCAGAGCGGAATATTTTGTTGCGCCGGACCTGTATTAAATTATTAAATACGAATAAAGTTTCACAAGCTTTGCATAATATCCATCTCGAGTTATCAAAAAGCAACATAAAACAAACATGTATACGTGTGGCGTAGATATGATTAATTGCCAATAGTATCGTCAAAGAGGAATTTTGAAACAATTATAACGACTAACATTATAAAAATATGTGAATGATGAGTATCTTTGAATCGAACAAAACAACATGAACCTACCTAATTGGGGATTGCCAATGAGGAGAAACACTGGTTTGAAAGGAAGGCCAAAGAAACCGCTGATACATGGTGTCGATTTGAAAACTTGTCATGCTCAATAATTTATTTGAAAAAATTTATTGGAAAAATCAGCAATACACAGCAGTTTCATTTTGAAGAAAGGCAGGTTCAATGATCGAGGTGAAACCCGTACTGGGAGTAGATGATACACTCAGAATCTTAAAAAGTGGCAACTAAGTGGCACATACCTCCACAGAGATTGAAATTTTTTCCGAAGGTACCCTAGTCCATTATTTTTTGTAATTTCAACAGTAGATCAATAGAGTTTACTGAGTCGATTGTAGTTTGTTTATAATTGGAATTATACATCGTACATCCTTGCTTTCAACTTTTTTATCAAACATAATTTACAAAATTTCCACTATCGATACTAAATCAGTAATTCTGTTCCATTTGTGCCGTTCAGTGATAATCCAAGAAAGGATCGTCTTGATTTTTATTTGAGGATAGGTTAAAGTGAGCATGAAGGTAGGTATTCATTTTTAATGAAAGAAATGCATATTATATGCTATGAAGTCGCAAGTGTTTTGTGGATTTGGTGACAAATCTGAAACTGGTTCGGTAAAACATAGGAAAAGAAATAACCCCAGAGTACTGAAATAAGTTCAAACTGAGGTGTTTTTCGCTGGTTTCGATCGGCAGTCATAGTACAGCGAGGAATGACACACGAGATTGTGAAAAAAGCACTGAAAATACATGAAATGAAGAGACTTCAAGAAGAGAATGAGGATGATTTTGATGAAAAAATATAGTTTTGTGAAACCACACCTTACCTAGCCAAAGCCAACTCTGATCTTGATTTTTATGAATGACAATGTGAATAAACAAAATTATCGTTATGGAGTGACAAAACTCGCAAAAATTAATGTTTGAGCAGATAATCGTTACTGGAAATTTTATGTCCTTTTTTTTTGAAGGAAACTAGTACCTATGGTTGGAGAGACCATCAAAATTTCAATAATACACGAGGCAGAAACTCAAATTGATGTAGAAGGTAATTTTGTTTTAGAGAAAGAAATATTTTTACTAGGACTGTGCTTCACCTTATTATTCTCTTCCCATCCGATGGTGGTTGAGCAAGAGATTTATGTATAGAGGATGGGTAGAAGGAGAGCAGTTGAGTGGCCTATGGTATTTTGAAAACATATAGAAAGAAATATTTTTACCAGTACTGTGCTTCACCTTGTTATTCTCTTCTCATCCGATAGTGGTTGAGCAAGAGATTTATGTATAGAGGATGGGTAGAAGGAGAGCAGTTGAGTGGCCTATGGTATTTTGAAAACATATAGATAGATAGATATTCTCAAAAAAAACAGACATTATTTATACATTTGGTAAATGTTTGAATAAATATACAACAAAAATATTTATGTAATTACATTAATATTGTAGATTATTTTGTAACTAAACAACATATACACACAAAGCATTAAGCTTGACTGCAGATAAAGTTGTTTTCTTTTCCTATTTTCCTTATTCTACTCCGAATGTTTCTGCTGTTCCAATGTTTTGACAGAATCAGAATCAACGTACTTAGGGGTGCGCAGCGTTATAGAACAGCACTTTCAAAAATTATTCTTCAGCGCCATCTACTGGCGAGTTACAGAAAAATTGATAGCCTTATAACCTGAAAAATTACTTATACATGTCAAGTTTCATCACGATCGGTTGAGCGATGTAGAAGTTTATCACTTACCAACCAATCAACCAACAATGATATTCCCTTTTCTCTCATTTTTTTTAAATTATCAATATTCCTGAACAGGGTGCGTTTTCTTAAATATGAGATGAATTCAATAACTTTAGATGAATCTTCTGTTTTTCCTCTGGTGTAGAAGTCGTTTATATCACTTTCTTGCAAATCTGTTTCCAGGGTGGCCTTCCAGTTCTTTGATTTTATATTTAAGAGAGCTTATTTCAGTGCCAAAAATTATTATATTATTTTTCCTCGTTTTGCGTTCCAGGTTGAGGGTTTATACTTCTTTGTTTAGTGTTTCCACTTCCTTCGTTACTTTGTTAAATTCAACTTTGAGTTCTACAGTTTGCTTTTTATTGGCCTCAATGAACAGTTTGAAGAGTTGTTGATGTTCTGGCGACGATGGATCTCCCATAACGTTGTTGTCAAAGTTATTGGGCTACTTGTTGTTAGTGGAATAAAATCTCTGTATTATTCAAATCTAAAAACTTTTTTCTATTCGGATTCTTCGTAATGCAGTTAACAAGAACTTTGATCGTAGACTACCAGTCAAAATTTCAGATATTTTCACTTTGTCACCTCACACTTTTATATATTATTCCGAGCAGTAGGAAACACGTGCAGTCTGCACGAGATCTACACTACACTACACTACACATCCCACCCTATATCTTTGTTTGAGAAATAAATACGAAGAATCGAAAAATTTGCTTTTAAAAGCAACAGCTACTCCCGTAGCTCCCCGTAGGGGAGTACCTGTTGCTTTTAAAAGATGTTGCTTTTGAATCCTAATTGAATAAAAGGGTATTCAATTATTTTTCCAATCAATCCTGCTTTATTATTTCATAACCAGCATTTTCCGAGATATCGCGTAAGAAAATTATGGAAGAACTACACGTCTAATATAATTTCGATTATCAGATTATTATTTAAATGAAAATCAAAGTACTGGCTCGCCTCTAAGGTAGCTTCGTTCCGACCATTGAGTAACAGAAAGAAAATTGGTTCTTTTATTTCCACTAAAATAAATTTTGGATTACGAGAAAGAAAAATGTGTTCATTATGTATACCTATCATTCTCCAAANAGTGCTTGTTTTTGAGCATATAAAATATTCCAAATTTCGTAAAAATAGCTAAAGAAATAAAAGAAAATGGGGGATGTACCATAGGTTTTTGTCATCCAGTGTAGAGGTTATTTTGTGAACAATTTTTCCAATTAGCTAGCCCCATTTTTCTCTATAACGCTTGGTTATGAAATACCCGAGTCGTACTCAATATCTGAATTCATAAAATCCACATCAGAAGTTTGGCAAGCCACCATTCATACTTAGGTTATTGTTTTCATTATTCGAAGATGTTCACGTGCATCACCTTCAACTTACGGCATGTTGCTGAAACAAATTTTTTACTTCAGGATCATGAATATCATACAAGATGTATCAAATAACCTCCTAAAAATTCTGCATGGGTCTCTGAATTCTAACTTAGTCTTTGACTAGATACCTGCTATTATCTTTCGATTATCCAATTATTTACGTTAACAAAACTTTCATTTCAGTAAATTTTAGTAAAGTAAAAAATGTGTTATTTCATAGAAATGTCAATACAAAATGCCACTTGAACAATTCTTTGTTTTTCCTTGAGGTATTCACTGCCATCTAGCGACAATGGTCCTTCCGAATGAGCACATTGAGACATTATTGGCAAATTTCGATACGACAGCAGGAGCTATAGAAAATATTTTTCTGGAAATTAAAATTCTTCATAATTATTCGTCAAAGTTTCAGACATTTATGGGACTTGAAAATATGTTGAGGAGAAACATTTGCTAACCATTTCCAAGAAACCATTGACACACACTGTATGTTGTTAGACCTGGCGAATCGCCTGTATGAATTACCTTGAAGCGTATTGATACTCGAGATAACGATTTAGATTATATAAAGTATGTCGACTGATGACAATTACGGTGACAGACGTCGAATCAAATTCTAGCTGAACTCCTCATGAGGTTAAAAATGTTATAAAGCCAATGAAATAATCGTAGGCAACGGAGGCGAAGTGGAAAGCGAATTTCAACAAAATTCATCAGTTGCACCGGTGCGTTACCTTATAAAGTATTACCTCAGTCATAAATAGTGAACGAATTATTTCACGATCTTATCTATCCTGCGATAAAACATACGGGTAGCTGCAGTCGCCAATTTGGTACGCATTTATGTGAGAAATAAGTTGATCGAGTTTCCTTTGCCGAAATTTGTGCTAAAATGGTTTAGAAAAAGAAAATCCGGAACCGACTTCCAGGAGATATTCTAGTCAAAATCCACATTACAATTTATTACGGATAGCTGTTAACTGTGATACTTTCAGATGTAAGTACTGAAAAATTGTTTTGATTTTTGTTGGTGAAACTGTTCAGACAGTCTCAGATTATTTGAATAGAACTGGCCGATACTTTATGAAAATCCATACTAAAATGATATTCACTATAAAGGGTTTTACAAAATTCGCGACACGTGTTTCGCTAAACTAAAAGTTGCGCTTAAGAAGGCTATTGTATAGCGAAGCACGTGTCGCCATTTTTGTTAAACCCTTTATAGTGAAAATCATATAATAAACTGTATTAATTAGTTTTAGTCTCAGAGTAGCCACCTTTTTGCATAATGATCTTGAATATTTTCTACTGGTTTTGGTATGACCTGATACATTCATATGGACGTGTTCTGAAAATGAAATGTTTGCATTCATTGGTAGTAAACAAATCCATAATGGGATTTGTATACCATTTTAGTCCTTACTTGGAAAAAGATCTATGAGAGGGTCTATATAAAGTTGTATCAACTGTTTCAAATGAAATCAAACAAACAAAACAATCAAAACTTTTGCGCGAAAACGGTTTGAATGAGCGTTTGAAATCTACGATCACAAAGAGACTCAGTTTATTTTGAGAAGTACTGATAATAGACAAATAGTATACTGAGATAATTTTCTGATTGATTCGGCCGTTACTTGATGAAGATCCATAGTAATTTCATAAACTACACCTCACCAGAGCAGATAAAGGCAACACTGTGGTTGCTATTGACCGAATCGACTATGTCCAAAAAAGCCTTGATTTCTTGAATTCAGGAAATTTTGAAATACTGAAACGTGATCCAACTAATTCTTTCCAAAGACAAGTGAAAGATTTTTTGAAAAATTCAAACATACTTCTTACTGAAAATGATGATTATCCTAATTGATTTTTCGGTAATTAACTAGTGGAACCACTACTAGCAAATTAATTTGTCCGCTTTTTAATCTATTGTTGACAAATCAATTTGCAGGTAGTGGTTCCACTAGTTAATTACCTAAAAATTAATTGGGATAATCATCATTCAACAAACAAAGTCCACATCGGACCAAAAAACTTTAGGTATAACAGCTAACCCTTGTCTTTCGATTCAGTATCAATTTGCTTCTCCTGAAGATGCTAACCTTGTTAGCGAAACGCGCGTCGAGTGTAAAAATATCAGTTTGATGTTAGGGTGATTGATCTCTTGAAAAAGTTTTCAACAATCGGTTTGCAAAACTACTCACTACCTAACCTAACCCCACGAACAGACGGCACTGATAAAGAAATATTGTGAAACGGACAAAAAATTAGTATTCAGCTAGTCCAGCTAGTCCAGCTAGTCGAGCATTTACTCCTCAACTACTCCTACTATCTGGGCTACTAGGGGCCACAGGCAAGAAATGTTTGTGACTGTACTCTTATTTTTATTGCCGTTCCAATTGGGAATGGATAGACTATACTATACATTACGATTCTAACATCCATATCAACGCAAAGTAGCAGCATGATTCACAGATTAGTCAATGTTCCTCTTTCAATAGATAATTTCAATAAAGAACTAAATATCATCAAGCAAATTGCAGTAAACAATGGGTATAAAGCTGAATAATTAATAAACAAAATCCTTTCCGAAAAAGTCTACGCAAAAGCGATTCGAGACGTTTTTCCTATTGATAAGTTAGATAATCAAAATCAAAATTATAGAGCTTTAACGTATTTTGGACAAACAACGGAAAAACTGGCTCCATTTTTAAGGAAACGAGATATTAAAATTGCATTTAGAAGAAGTAGGTTAGTTAAAAATAATGAAGACAAAACATCCTAATTCGAGAAATCAGGAGTATATAAATTGAAGTATGGAACGTGTCCTAAGGTATATATTGGTCAAACTGGCAGAACATTTTGGAATCGAATCCAGGAAAATCATATGAGCTATGTAAATAAGAAAACAAGTTCAACATATTCAAATTATATTTTAGAAGAAAATTATATCTTTAACGAAGAGTTCGAAATTTAGGGTTTGAAACTGAATCATTTGGAAGCAATGGAAATTAATAAACTTAAAAATTCAAACATTCTAATGAGTGACCAACTGGATTTGAATACATCACCATTATTGAACGTTTTTCTCTAAAAATCCGAGGAAGTATTATTATTGATGTACAATGAAGTAATATGTTTCAGGTAATCATAGTTGAAGAGGTACCTCAGGTATATAAGGATTGTTAAGGTTTGGGTAAATACAAAAACATATAATAGTTCAACAGTCTAGAAATTTCATAAACGATTCATTTTTGTTTCTTTTCTAATTGATTCAGCCCTTACTTGATAAGATCCATAGTAATTTCATAAACGACAGTTTAGCGATTTGTTCTTCACGAACTTTATTTTCAAAAATAAATGACATATATCACAACATGTAGCTTTTTCATACAAAAAATCTACTGTGAGATTTTTTTTAATATAGGTTGTGAAGATCAAATCGTAAGGTGTAATTTACGAGATTCATTCTCGATATAGATGATGAAACTTGCTTTATTATATGGAACAAAATATAATTAAGTGTTATCTCCGGTTCAGTCTATCAACGACTAATTTCCGGTATAATTTTGGCAAACATCACCAATATTCATAAAATTCAGATTTAGGTTCTACTTCAAAGTTGACCCTGTATCATAGGTTGCGTTTATCTTGGTGGTGAAGCCACCCCTTTTCTGTGCTGAAAAATGTTTCATTGAAAATAATTAATGGGTAGACTTAATTCTTAGCAAGTTTTGTTTCAGAAAGTTTTCAATTTATTCGCCAGTTAAAGTATCAATTTTTCAAACAATCAGAGTTATCTCATGAACATTTATTTAAGTAATTGAAGTGCTTCAAAAAACCTTTAATTCTTTTTTCAATGCGTCCCCAGCATTCAAACTAAGCGAGTTAGAACTTATTTAGAACTCAGCTCTGTTTTTAAGTATGCACTTTAAATTAAGTAATTGAAGTGCTTCAAAAAACCTTTAATTCTTTTTTGAATGCGTCCCCAGCATTCAAACTAAGCGAGTTAGAACTTATTTAGAACTCAGCTCTGTTTTTAAGTATGCACTTTAAATCGGACAAACTTCTACAGATAGAGTACATAAAGTGGATTGTGAAGTTCTACCATATCGATTGATTGTTCAAATAAATACAGAGAGAGTATTTTGAAAGAACTCCATGGAAATTGTCAAAATGAAGAGTTTAGCATCTTCATATTTTTAGTGGCCCTCGATAGACAATCAAATTGAGTCAATTGCAAAAACCTGTGATGCTTGTAAGATACAAAGGATAATCCACCAAAATCCGTTTTAGTCACTCGGGATTGACCAAGGAACCCTGGACTAGAATCCATATTACGGCTACCACTACAATGAACATTTTTACGGAACTGTTAGCAAGATATGGTTAACCATTTCAACTTTGTACGGACAATGCCACAACATTTTTATATGAAATTTTTTTCGAAAGCAGCGACCATTCTGCCACCATTGGTCAAGCGGAAATTGCTGTCAAAATCATGAAAAAAAGCAGCATGAACGTTTCTTTCTGAGCAAATTTTGTTATTTTGACCTACATGAATAAAACTCATTAGATTGCACAACTATGGAATCAGGGTTGGAGTGACTTAAATCGAATGATTGGAATTATGATTTAAATCACGACATTAAATCAAGCGAGTTTTAAGTTTTCAAAATTCAACATTTTTTCAATTTTTACGCAAATTGAAATTATACATTAACAAACTATAAAACAAAACTAGTAATTCTGAAAAAGTAAAGTACAAAATTTCCTTCATATTTAAAAATAAAATTAGGAGTATAAAAATGAAGTGAAAATGGCAATTTTCTAATATTTTATTAATTTTCATATCTATTCATTCATCAATTTCTATTTTGTTCCCTTTGAAATAGTCCCCCTCAGCCAGCGTCTTTCTCAATCCTTGAAGCAGATCTGAAATGCATTTTTTTGTATGTCCTTGAGCTCTCTTAGCGATTCTGTTTTTTTCTCCTCAATGTAACAAAATACCGTTCCTTCATGGGTCTATTCAATCTTGGAGACAGAAAAAGTCCCAAAGGGTCCAAATCTAGTGAATACGGTGGCTGAGGCATTATTACGATGTTGTTTTTAGCCAAAAAAATACGAACAGGCAATGACGAATGAGCAGGTGCATAATCGTGCTGCAAAATTCATGAATTGTTTCTCCACAATACCGGACGTTTTCTTCGTATTGCTTCTCGCAAGCGACGCATAACTTCAAGATAATACCCCTTATTGACCATACGACTATGCGGCAAGATTTGCTTATGCACTACGCCACGGCAATCAAAGAGAACAGTGAGCAAAACGAACTTGGCGTGCTTTTTTAATCTTGCTCTACTGGAATCTTCCGATTGGACTTTGGTTTTGATGTCATAATGCCATAACCATATCCCCATAATTCATTACCAGTTAAGCAAATCTGGATCGCCGTTGACGTCATTCTACAACTCTTAGCTATGTTCATGCGACCGTTTTTTTGGTTAAATTCAGCAATTTTGGAATGAACTTCGCTGCCGCATGCTTCATACCCAAAGTTTCCAAAGAAATTGCATGGTATGAGCCAAGCGATATGCCGACATCTTCAACAAATTCTCTAATAAAAGGTCTTATAGACCTTCTGCGAAAAGCTTGTACCACTTATAAACATCTTTCTCACTCAGAGTACAATCAACATATGCCACTGTCAACATTTCAAATGTTTTTATGCTCCTAATTCCATTTTTCACACAAAATTTTGAGCAGAATCTTTGATACATTTTTTCCATAGCAGAACATGCTGAACAGTTGAAACTGTAAACATGTTCGAAACCAACATAAAAAATTTAAAAAACCGCTAATCGAATGTACGTACCCCCAGAAATCTGAACACTCACATTATTTTATGAACACTCCATATATTTATATGAATATACCGCACTTGAAAAATATCTAATTATTATAAATAAAACTAATCCTCAATTGTGAGATCTATTTCTTCAGTTGGCTGCATTTTCTTGCAAATTTCACGGTGGGTTCGTAATTTGCTACCTATTCCTCAAATTTCTTTTTACATTTTATGCAAATTGCTCTATATAATTTATTCCTTTTGTAGCTTTCCTTATAAAATGCTTCTATATTGCATGGATCTTTCCTCACATTATCACTATTAATATTTCTTCACTTTGAATCATTCGAACTGTAAATTTAAACGCATTTCATCAGATCACTTTAGAATTGGATAGAAACAACCATAAAACTACAGTCACCATCTACGAAAAAAAAAACATAATGAATTTGAAAATTAATCCACCCTGCTTTCATAAGATCAAACAAGTTCGAGTTGGATTCATTTATTCTTGTTGCGTTTCCGACAAGAATAAATGAATCCAAACCGAATCAATTCGAAATGAAATTTGTCTTGTCAGGAGAACAAAACCCAGATCTTCAGAAGATGTGGTGCTGCAGGTTTTTCCGGGTTTTATCTGCTTCGATAATTTTTTTGGGGGCTGAAATGGACACCGATATATTTTGGCACAATGAAGTCGCTGGAATTGCAAAGGCTGCTTCTCAAAAGCTTGGAACACTGTTACAAACCAGAAAACTGTACACATCTCAGAAATGTTGATACTTATACAGCTCAGATCTTCTTTGGAGTATTGATCTCATGTATAAAGCTCCGCCCCCAAACATACCCTGAAGCTGCTGGATTCCATCCAGAAAAAAGCCATCTGCTTGATTGGAGACACGAACATTATTTGCAACCTTGATAGTCTGAAATATCGAAGTGTTCAGAGACTTGGCACATTTGATTCCATCAAGTACGGTACATATCAGAAACACGCGATATACTGTGGCTGCTCATCGTTTTGAAGTTCAACTCAGTACACCACAAACTTCACTATTTAAGAATTCTTTCATTTGGAGAACTGCGTTTATGTGAAATAAACTTCCTGAGAACGTTTTTCTCTAGCGATTGAAATCCAGTGTGAATCACTACTTTCACACAGGCACCACTGCAAGAGCACCTTAAAGGTATTCCTGTAGTGCCTGTGTTTTATCCATAAAAAAATGTTTCATCCTCACAAACTGATGAGAAAAATTTAAAAAAAAAATCAATGAAGACTGAAGTTTATTTTTCTGGAAACTACTTCTTCTCACAACCTGTGATTTCGCTCAGTGAAATACTTCATTCATTAGATATTCTCCTGAAAGTATCATCCTTTCAAAAATACGGGAACATTTGCAAAAAATATTATTTGATGAATGCTAACATTTATTTTTGAGAAAACTACTTCTTGTGATAACCTGGTCATTTTTTGTCCAAAGACTTTAGTTTGGATATTCTTCTACGTAAACATAACCTTCCAAACCCGTCGGAATTCGAAAAAAATTATGTTTTCTTTTTAATTTTGGTTTGATTTCTTTGATCGATTTAACGTTTTTCATTCTGAACCGATTGAAAACTAACACAGTTTAAGCCAAGCTCACCATAATAAAATACTAAAAACTGCACCCAAATGGTTAGTTTTTAAGCGAGCACAGATATGCAGATAAAAAAATGTAAAATCCTTGTTTTGGGTTCCACTGCGTTAACAAAAAAACCTCCAAAAGTTTTTCTCAAATATCTTTCATGTACAGAGAACGATCAGTTACACTTTCATCAGATGTATATATGATTGCCAAAATTGGGCGTCTAAGTTCAAGCAGATCTCTGGTCAACAATCAGCATCAACAATCTATTTTTGATAAGGAAGAAAATTGACTTTTTTCAATTAGTCTTTCTTAGGCAATTGATTTTGTTCAACACAAGAGACTTCAAAAGACTTACTTTTGAGTCACAAGACCTAAAATTTTCACCGAGAAACCAATTTTCCAATTTGTGTTTTCATATAAATGAATTTTTCCCGAATAATAATATATCCTAATTTTACATGTTTTCTTTTGTTTAAATGCTTGTATTGGGATAGTTGGCTAATAGAATGATGATATGCAGAATGCTGACTTATTCATTCAACATGTTTCAATAATACTTATATCGAAATACATGTAAAATTCAGATCATTTATAATCTGGCAACACTGTAGGCAAATTTCATTTTAAACCAAACTCATGGACTGTGAATGAGAAGTTGCGGACAACTTCACACAAATTGATTTAATTACTTAATATGATGCGCCATCTAGGTGCGCACAGTGTAAATTATTCAACGAAATGGACAAGTAAAAATCGTTTCATTTCTCCATTCTCATTTTAGGTTTACTTACCGATGAAATCTCAATTATCTCTAGTTCTTCTAAAACAATTATTTGACACGCCCTCGTAAATTACCGCCCCCGTAATGCTGAACCAGAACAGACGTCGCCGTCGCACCAAACGATCAAATTGGAACTTATCTGCAATCCAGAAATACACCTATTTACACAATGACGTGAACGTGTTTACTTTCAGGACTCTTTCATGAACTACCAAAAAAATCGATAATGATTATCAAATACGTACTAAACGAGAGCCACTCTTAAACCGGTCGAGTATCTTGAGTAATATTGGTGAAAATGAAGATATCCTAAAGTGGCACAGTGTTGTTTTACAGATAAATGGAGCCAGGTATAGTGAAAATTGCCGAAGACAGTGACTTTGACATGTTGAAAAACCTCGTCGACGATCACTCTAACTGGAAACTGGACTACGACAAGGGGGACGAAACAAAGGTATTTATCATCACATTGTTCTACTACATCCTTGAGAGTAATGACACTAACCAGATGCTTGCGGACATATTACTTACCTGTCAATATTTGTTAGCAGCGTTGCCAACATGTTTAGCATTTTTCTATGAGCAGGGAGAGCTGAGAACTAACACTTACTCTTATTCTTGTTTCACTTCACCTGAGAGGGTAAATTATTTGAAAATAAAACATGAAATTAACATTATTTGAGAAAAATTGAGCTTAAAGCACTTAGAGCACTTAAACAATCATAATCAACTTAGTTATTTTCTGATATTTTTGATTTTTAAAATTATATATATTTTCAATAAAAATTGACCGCAGAAAACATAAAAAACTAGGTACATATATATGTAGAGTTTGGTAAAATGTTGAAATTTAGGCTTTTCTAGACCGTCGTCTGTTGGAATTTCTTTCCTTATTCGAAAAAAAAAATTCGTGAATTGAATTGTAAACAACCTCAACCATAAATGTTTCAGGTTTCACAGCATTTATATAGTATATAAAAAATAAATGGATACAAAAATTGAATTTGTCTTCACTGAAAACAGATACACAACAGAAAATGAAAAATAAAATACCCTGAAAAATTTCATTCCATACCCCATTGAAGTATCAAATAATATTTTTTGCCGAAGGGTAGTAAGGACTGTTTGTATTCGTGGAAGATGTAACACCTCGGAAAGGGAATACACTATGAGAGCATTGTCCATTCAATTACTGTAGACTGTATTCGTAAACGTAAATTTGGTTTGGTAGATATTTCATTTCATTAAATATTCGCACGGAATTATCATAAACATAACTGCTTGATAATTTATGTTTAGGATTTCACTGAAATGTTAAAGTACCTAGAGTACATTTTGATTTAAATGCTACAATATTAATTATGAACCAAAAAAGTACCGACGGACAATTTGACAGTCAGATAACTGCATATTCAGTTCATAAATTATTTTGTATTATGTTTGAACATTCATTCATTATTCATTCATTCATTAATTAAACTTTCGTTGTGCTTCAATATCATGAGGAAAAATTCGAATCAGTGGCAACCTCGCTTTTCAAACATATTGACCAGTTTCTATGTTATTTACCTCGGTCGTCATACATCGTTTTCAGCCACTCTATAAGAGGATTGAAAATATGTCTTTCTTTTTGAATTCTTAATTCAAGGGAATGGAAGCTGGTCAGGGTGTTACTGTGATTTATACTATTCTACCTCAACGAACTTGTATTCATGTCCAGAGCTTCGTATCTGATTTCAATATCTTAAAATTAATGAGTAATAATAATATAATAATTGTAATATAATAATTGTATTTGTACCTTATACATTTTTTTATGGGTTGGTTCCTAAAATGATTACTAAATTTCAGTTACCTATTTAATTTTGAGCATTGAGAATAGTGTTATTTCCCTTAAAACGATTTTGAAGTACTTTTTATAGAAATCTGTAGACGTCGGTGGCTTTATGATTTTTCATTTCGGAAAGTATTACATAGATGGCGACAGTCATATACTTCGTCAAGAATTTTAGCCTCCTCATTTTTTTGAATAGGGAAAAGGGTCGATATCGGTGTTTAAAAAAGTCTAACGGTATGAGACTGCTTAACGGGAAGTCATTCCACGATACCTTTACTGCCATTTCGCCGTTTAGGAAAATATTCACTTCACCATTAAATGAAACAAGTATTAATCAGAAAAAACATAACATTTCTATTCTGATTTATCATATCGCTGAAATATTTACAGAATGGTACGCTACTGTTGAAGTCATCTTCAACAGGACCATGGTCTATTTTTATCATGTGAAGTATGCTTTCAAACTGCTTGAACCATTCTTACAAAAGTGTTGAGCTCTATCTCAACATGACCCAAATTTACAATTGGTACCTACCACTTCGCTCCTCATTGCTAGCTGAACTCCATTTTTTTTGGTACCTTCTGACCCCGTCGGCAGAAACTTTTTCATAAGATCAGATTCAAATATATTGCTCTCATAATAAAAAGTATATTCAGTCTATCCTGCAATGTATAAACCATTACTAGTACCCACTTTCTACGTTCTATTTTTTGTCTATTGAACAGGACATGTAAAAACTGCAGAAAAAACTTCATTCAATTAGAGAATAAAAGTACAAGGCATAATTAAGTCCTATTGCTGAACAACGGTCATCCTTATTTCTCAACAACATATCCATAAGAATGTAAAACGAAAATAATGTTTAAAGGTAATGAAAATAACTTTCAACGAAGTATTGACTCTTCTTCCGAATAAAAAGAACATAAGGTTTCTCTGGGGTGTATGAGGATGGAGCCAAAAAGACATACTATTTACTAAAACGTTATTTCCTTTATTCAAACCTGAACGTGTTCCGTTGTTTTTTGGCTATAGATTTATCCAGGATTTGAACTTGGCCCGATTTTGATAAGACACCCTACCCTGTATATATTTAAATATAGTTTTTCAATATCTAATAGTTTCGAAAACAAGAAAAACAAAGATTCATTCATAAAGCGTAATGAAATGGGTATTTTTTAATGATTTGTTTCAAATCCTAGAACAAAACTAGACAAGTTCGAAAATTCGACTTTAGTATGGAAATTTTGACATTACCCTCGAAATTTCGACTTTGAACACAAAAATTATTATGTTCAGAATAAGACAAGCAAGTACAGAACTATATTCAATACATAATTATAAATAATGGAGTTGGATATATTTATTATATACACATTTTCGTAGTGAAATGTGAAATAGTCAAAATAAGTTAAAATTTTCATTAACAAAAATAAATTTTTAATAGAAATTTGGATGATATGAAATTGCATTTACCTTTCGTTTATCCCATGGAATGAGTGAGTTAAATAAATGATTAGGTTAGGTCAAAAGTGAGTGGGTTTATTCGACCCTCTACCGCAACCCGCGAGGGTTTATTGTGGCTCTCACCAATTCACACTCGACCAAATATGATGAGTGGTCTTTCAGGTCAGAGAGTACGACTCTGCCAAACTCTGAAATCCTGATTCGGCCTCCAGCGGGGCAAGCACAAAGTATGTGCTCTACTGTTTCTTCATTTTCCAAAACAGAGGATACACACACTGTCTTCCGACAGTCCGAGTCTCTTCATATGATGATTCAGATGACAGTGACCTGTGAGAAGCATGTTAAGACATCGTAGTTCATCCCTACTGTATACCAACAACTGTTTGGTATCAAACTTCGAAGGGTCAATAAAAGCCTTGGAGTGAGCCAATCTTGTAAGATTTCACCAGACGTCCATCTGTATCTGTAGAGTAGGGAAAGTGAGTATAGACCCACGGCACTTAGGCCATATTTGACCCATTGTACATCCTCCCGAGGAGTTGTCCTTCTAGGTCATCGTCCATCCTATCCTTTCCAGGAAGGTGGACAGGTCACTAGGAGACATCTTCCTTATTTTGGCAGATGTACGCCGAGAGTCGCCGAACACACACTCTCCTTGGCAACCTTGAGGTGTCCAACGGTGGCCTCCGCGAAGGTTTTGAAAGGTGCAGCGACATTACTGTCGTTGCGCGGCTTATTCAACCTTCTTGGGGTTCCCTCTGTAGAGGTTCACAAGTGAGGGAGCTTTCCTGCAGGGGCAGCCGGGTCCTTGCCTTTATTCAAGGCGGAGCTCTTGGCGCCAGCTGCAGGAAGTGCCCTTGCTGTTGGAGGTGGAGTGGGGGAGGAGGAGGGTGCACTTATAGTTGCTGCCATTCCTGCCTCTTTCGCTCTCTTTCTCCTTTTGGCCTCGGCGATGCAAATGCGCTTACGCCTTGGCCGTTGTATTACATCATGAGGTGATCTGCTATGTCCAGCCTCATTCCAATCGGTAGATTGGTGTGGATATTTCTGTTCATCCCCAGCCACCGCCTTATATTGAGGTGAGCACTTCTGCCCAGCCTCGGTAGAGCCCCGCATTACCAGAGGTTGGCTGATTACAATGGGGTTTCGCCCAGTTCCCCAAGGGGATTGTTCGTAACCGCATATCACCCTGCCGATATGGCCAGCTATCGGCACGATTCCTCACACCTCAGCTTGGGTAGGCTGGTCCACGGTGGCATGTTTTGCAAAGGCTTTTGGGAGTTTTAGTTCCCCTCACTCTACTTATTTCTGTGACTGACTAGGAGTCCGTGAGGCCACATTGGCTTCCCGGGCAGGGCCTCCAGTCCCCTGGCCGTTCCCCTATCCGCCACCTGGGGACACGCCCGATAGATAGCCCAACCCACGGGTACCAGAAGTCCATAAATCTTCTTGCCATCAAAGTGTTCAATGTTTGTTTGAGAAAGCCTAAGGCGTTCTGATTCTGGTCCAATGAAACTGCTTGCAGTAACCTCCGTTGAAAGGGATTCAGCAGCCTCATTGCACTCAAGGCCAGTATGGTGAGGAATTCAGATCAGAGACAATATGTTAAGTCTTCCTATCGAAGAGAGTCGTTTAAGGCAACAATGAAACATTGTGCATTGATTTGTAAAGTGTAAAGAGAGTAGTGGAATATAGAAGTTACAGATTGGTAACCGAATGTCGCTTATCTTAGAACTATTTAAAGTATTCTTTTCAAAAAAGGGTTTTACGTATAACAGACCTATAACATACCTTCTTTGCATCATACAATGTTTATGAATCCCTAAATATTATATTTTAATATTCAGTTGTTCACAGGTATGGACAAAATCAACTCCAAACTGCAGCTTCAAAATGGTTAAAATTCAGGCGGTCTTCCAAGATATAAAGGCCAGTACATTATTTGATGTACTTCACGATCCGGAATACCGTAAAGAGTGGGATGAACATATGCAGTCATCTATAGAAATAGGCTACCTGAATCCCAATAACGATATCGGATACTATGCGAGTAAGTGGATATTTCATAATTTTTCCTGCCGATTCTCAGCAATATATTTATTGTGGAAAAATCAGCGTTGCTAAGATGACTTAGGTTTGGAGACTCTGAGGTGTCGAAGTTGATATTCATAAGAAAATAAATATTTTCAAATGAGATATCTGCTAGATGAATGATAATCATCTACAAGACAATTTCTGCGAGGTAACTTGTGTAAATGTCTGTCGGTTATAATTCAATGTCCATCGTGGTAGTAGCTGGGAAACTAGTTTCTTTTGGCATCATTCACTAGATCCTATCGTGTGGAAACGTTGGGAGAGATGAATGTTTCTAGATCATTTATTTTCTTGTACGTATGTATGTTTTATTGATAGAGTTATCAGACTTTGAAGCCGATGTTTCATTATTGAATGAAGCCCTCATTTCGTTCATGTCGAATGTTACAAATCGAATACCGCCGCGGCGGTATTTATTCTTTATTTTTCAAAAGCTTTTGATTGTGTTGATAACAGAGTCCTGCTGCACATGGTTTTCAAAAATGGTCGTTTGAAACGGTTCAAGTCATAATCAGAACATCACAAACAAATTATTTGCCGTTGAATTGAGTCCAATTTAGAAAAGATAGAGTATGGAGTGCCACAGGATTCAGTTCTTGGACAGTTACTTTCCTTATTGTATATTAATGACATCACTAGATGTAATATCCTGACAAAAGTTACTCTCGGCATAACAAAACACCGTTGCAACTCTTCAATACGATAAAAAAAAGATATAGTCAATGAAACAATAACACAATTCTAAATTATTGACTTTGAACTTGAATAAAACATCATTATCACATTTCGTTGCAGTTTTCCTGATGTATCTATGAAATTAAATGTTGAACGTTTTATTTAAGAAAAAACAAAAAAATTCGCTGTCGCTCATTTTATTGAGGAAATCAACGAAAGTGATGCCAATAGCAACACAATCAACGGATAAAGTTTCAAAATGACCTCCACCTGTTCTGTTTCTGTTTGAAATCTGTTTTCTTTATTAACCAGCTGTCACACCCCTACGAACGACAACCCTCAGAAGTCGAAACTTGTGCGAGCTAAGGAGTAACGAGGTCTTACCTTCTAACGTGTGATTCCTAACACGGTTCCTAGTTCCATACAATAATACAGTCTACTTTCGGAAGCGTTCCTTACATTATTGAAGATGTTCGGAGTCAGAAATCGGCATTCCCAAACAATTCTCCGTTGCAGGTCTTCTAGGACCTATTGTAGGCTCAGTAGAGTATACTTTCGACTTCAGGTATCCCAACAGAAAGAAATCCATCGATGTGAGATCATGTGATCTAGCTGGCCACTCCACTGGATCCCTTCTGCCGATCCAACGCATTGGAAAAAGTTCGTCCAAAAACTGTCTCATCCAAACATCAAAATGTGGGAGTGCACCATCCTGCTGGAATGTTATTTCATTTTCCATTGAATTGTCATCATTTTTTTAAATTTGTGTAATCATAGGATCTAAACAGTCTTGTAATATGTATAAATATGTGTCTCCATTGAGATTACCTTATTCAATGAAAAATAGTCCAACAAATAATTACCAAAAATGCCGTCTCAGACATTCAATTTTTGTGGAGTTTGTAATGTGTTTCTATTACCAAATGAGGATTCACATCGCTCCAGTAACGACAATTTTGTTTATTCACTTCACCATTCAACTGAACGAAATTTCGTCTGAAAAACGTGTATTGTACAATAGGTTTGGCTTATTGGACAATTTCTTGCTGAACACTTCACAAAACTGAAGTCTACGATCAGGATAATCTTCTTTTAATTCCTGAACTAGCCTCATTTTGAAAGGATGGAATTTGTAGGCTTTTAAATTTCGAAAAACACTAGTAGCTGATACACCAGACGTTCTAGCTACTTGTCTGATAGATTGTCGATTATCCATTTGTACATGTCCTAAAACTGCAACTTCAACTCCGTCATTTTTGACAGAACGAGATACTTCATGTTTCCTGTTGTGAACAGAACCTGAAGTTTGAAACTTATCCATTATTTCTATTCTGTCTTCAGTAGAATAAACCATGTTGGATGACAAGGATGACTGAAAAATAATTCATGAAGAAGTGACAGTGGCCAACTATCTACTTTTTGTTCTGCGACAACTAGATTCAACAAAACCTACCAGTGCAGAAAATCTAGGAGACCTGCGACAAAAAATTGTTCAAGAATGCCGATTTCTGACTCTGGACATCTTCAATAATGTGAGGAAAGCTTTCTAAAGTAGATGGAACTAGATGGAGGTCATTTTGAACACTTTATCCGTTGACTGTGTTGCCATTGATATTAATTTTGTTGATTTCCTCAATGAGCGACAGCGAATTTTCTGTTTTTTATTAAATAAACAACATTTAATTTCTCAATAACGGATGAACCAATTTAGAAAAAAATCACAGAATTGATAAAGGGACAAAAGACCTTTCAAATGATGTATCACTCGACTCCCCATGCCATTGACAAAATAGGGGGGGTAGTTACTGACCGCAGGGGATTGAAGTTTCGGATATGATTTCCATATCAGAATGACTTACAGGGGGGTCAAGTTTTCGTTGGAACGTCTTGTATAATAGACAAACCTTACGGAGAATAATCATTATAACACCAGACAAAGCACGCTCTACACCAATACCCTCTATAACGGTATCAAAGTATATAATCATTCACATTTTACTGTATTTTATATATCGCTAACACCGAGGAAGCTACGGTATTAGCGAAACGCGTCTAGAAATTAAAATGTTTGTGAAAATAGTGTAATTATCATAGTATTTTAGTAGCTTGATATTTTCAAATAAAAATATTGACTGCCTCTTTTTGACTGGCAACCTGTCATAAATGAATTTTCCTATTCATAAAAGTATGGGGAAATTTGAGTTTGATTAACTACGCTATGAACGTTGTGATTTTGCGGCGGGATCCTGTACTATATCATTTGCAACTCTCGTGTGAGTCTCCAGGAATGTTACCTGAGTTAAAAATTAATTTGTATACTGGTGCACAGTATATAATCTTTACACTGATCAGAATTTTTCATTTATAATTAATTCAGAAATGAAAATATTTTGAAAACCATTTTTTTTTCAGTATATTGTCCGCCGCCTGTGAAGAATCGAGACTTCGTATTACAAAGGTCGTGGCTAGACATGGGAGATGAGAAATTAATTTTAAATCATTCTGTAGAACATAAAGACTACGCTGTAAGAAAAGGATTTATTAGGTTAGTATCAATAGGAATGATATCATAAAATTTTAAAACACGACACGACTCCACAGTTTTGAAATATCAATGGAACTAATTCTCTTAGCACCAAATAATTGCTTAAAAGTGTGACGTCAATATTCCAAATTACTCTCCCCAACGAAACATATCAGATCCATAATGAAGATCTGTGTCAAAAACTATGCCTTCTATTCAGATTTGTCTTCTGTGGCTTTTATTCACAGTAGAATATCCGAAATTGAAACGAACTTCAGTCATCTGTATAATACATGAAAAATATTTTGAACGAATTTGAATGTTTAATGAATCGCGAGTAGATTGCAGAAAAATCTTGTTCAGATAAGATAATGATTGAAAATTGAAAAAAATACTTTTCATGTTCATATTCATTTATTTAATATAATAAACAAATCACCACTTGAGAGTAGATTAAGTAATTTTGATTGCATAGTTCATAGATATAGAAATAATGGAATATTCAGCATAATCTCCGCCAATCTATTATACAACATTTATAGCCAACGATTAATGTTAATATGCTTTTATTGACAATAGTCATTGCAATAATGTGACATATCTTATTGTAAAAGATAAATGTTACATGGTGTCAGGTAAATTGAATTGAACCCTGGAGTGTGTAATTGAACACCGGAGAACCATGGAATCGTTATTTAAACCACCTAAGCCCCTGTGCATTCAAGGTAACCTAGCAGATAATTGGAAAAAATTCGAACAAAGGTTTGATTTTTTCATGACAGCAACATAATTGGAAAATAAAGATGTCAAGAAGCAGATAGCTGTGTTTTTCAGCTCAATTGGAGAAGATGGGTTGGACATTTACAATTCATTCGCATTGACAGAAGAGGAAAAGAAATCCTTGAAAGAAATAAGGAAGAAATTTGAAGAACACTTCTCCTCTCAAAAGAATGTAATATATGAGAGGTTTATATTTAACTCTATAGATCAGATGGAAGGTCAGAATTTTGATAGTTTTCTTACTGAACTAAAAATAGCAGTCAAAACTACTGATTACTCAGATTCACAAGATATGGTCAAGCACAGAATAGTAATGGGAATTTTTACAAAAGCGCACAAGAGCAACTACTAAGAGAAAATGACCTAACATTGCAAAAGGCAAAGGACATTTGTAGATCAATTGATTTTAGCAAATCACAGGCAAAAGCACACAAACAGAAGCAGTGGTCAGTGCAGTTCACACTAAAAATAGAGAAAAAACGCCTAGTAAACAGGAGACAAATAAGTTTAAGTACTGTAGCTACAGTCATTACAAAGGGAAGTTCCCAGCTTATGGAAAAGTTTGCGATGTTTGTCATGGCAAAAATCATTTTGCAAGTGTATGCAGAAGAAAAGAGGTATCATCAAGCATAAACAGAAATCAACAAGTTTGACAAGTGGATGTAGGCGGAGACTCTGAAAGTGAGAGTGATGATGGAAGTTTTTTTTGTAAGCTGTTTACAAAAAAGAGTTAATGGAGTGCAGGCAGATAAGAAATCCATGTGGATCAAGAAAGTACCTATCAGTAGAAGGTGGAGCAATCGACTTCAAATCAGATACGGGAGCTGAGGTGAGTGTGCTTCCTTTGAGTGTATTAAAGAAGATATAGGCCCTCGTGCGCAGATGACGGAAACAAAATTGACATTAATATCATATGGCAGTCCTGATTTTAAAATCAGACCTTAGGAGAAATCTCCTTGAAATGTAGTGTAGAAGACAAACGTTACATATTATTGATAGAATATAAGAAATAGGGCGTTCTTCAGAATTATTCTACCATATATATTTATAAACTTCCATGCGTTATAACCAACTAAAAATGTGTATAAATCAAAAAGGTTATTGAGATTGGGTTCACTTTATAAATTGGCAATTTGTTTCTCCATCCACTTTATCATTATTTCAGGAATTACATCCAAGCAGACCAAAAACGGAAGGGAAACGTTCTTGCATATTAGTGTAATAATTTATAATCAGCATGTCCTTTTTAACGGCAATGATAGAGTCAATAAACGCACTGATCGACGTTGGTTTGCAAAATATCGTTCCGGAGATTTAAGCCTCGAAGATGAGCCCCGAAGTGGTCATCTTCGCTGGCACTCCACAAACTGACAGTTTGAGGAGTGCCAGAAGATGACAGTACTACCAACTGTCGAAAGCGCTCGCAGATAATTAAAAATAAGAAATTCAACGTTATATATTAGCCATATTGTCAGCCAGTGCCCTCTGTAGTGTATGCGACAATGTACTCTTTCTAATGTCAATGGTTTCCACACATACCTTCGTATTTTTGTTAAAATAATTTTAAAATGAATGTTGAGCCTAGTTTTGTTAAAGCTGACTCCGACAACTTACCAAGAGTCGATTTTGAAATGATCGATGAATTTTACTTGAAAAATTTGCAATACTTTGGTACCGAAATGAAGTAGGTGGTATATTTAGTAGGTCCCTTTTATTTATGACATTCATTTCAGACTTTCTTTTATCGAAGGATGGAAAGTTTTGATTCAGTTTTTATTTCAGCTCGGCCAACTGAAGACATCCATAGATCTCTTAGAGTTTCGTTTTTTGGAACACTGAAAAACTTTTTGTCCGGTATGGATGATCTGTTTTTACAACTAGGCATAACACATATTTCAACCATTTTGGTGGTAGTAATGATAAAATTCAATCCAAAAATTACCTGAAAAAATATTTTTTGGAATGTAAACTAATGACACGGAATATGCAGCAAAATAGGCACCTGCCAAGACCCACCATTTACAAAAAAAAAGTTCTTTAATTAGATGATTATGACAGTTGCATTTACACCGTGTTGACAACGATAACAACAAAAATGGCGTCTGTCAAATTGGATCATCAGATCTGTGATTGGACATTAAAAACCAATACACTTGGCAACTCTGCTCTAGACTATTTTATTGGTCAACAGATAGGCGGCCAATTTAAATTCTTGCTTTTCGATTTGTTCTTTTTTCTGAAAATATAAAGAGATCTCGGGGCCGATTAGGCTTGATAAGTATAATATACCTCTAACTCGCTCAGTCTATAAGCAAACCAGTATCATTTTCCATAGCATGAAACAAGCCCTTTGGGCGTTAGAATTTCTGTCTTTCAAAACACTCTCCAGACTTCTTGCCAACCGACTACTATCTTTTCCAGCACTTCGATAACTCTCTCATCAGTAAAACCTTCGCTAATCACGACTAATCAAAAACGGCCTTCGTCGTCTTCATCGAATCCCGATTATGAATTTTAAGCTAACGGAATTAATCGACTCGTGTTACTTTGGCAAAAGTGCCCTGATAAAATGTCGCTTATTTCGATCGAATTTAATGAGTATTCATTGAGATATTACGTTTAAAGTAGACTCATAAACATGAAGAAAACTTCCGAAACAACCTATTGAAAAAATATTCATTAGATGAATGGTATTTGCATTTGACTATTCATCTGTGCATATGCTTATATATTTTTGAACAAATTTTGAATCAGCCAATGTTTCTTGAAATATATTCAATAATAATTGTTGTTGCAGGGCAATATCTCATCTGACCGGTTTCGTGATAAGAAGTGTCCCAAACGGATGTTTTCTTGGATATATATCACAAACTGATCCTAGAGGAAAATTACCACCTTGGTTAGTTAATAAAATTACTCAAAAATTCGCGCCTAAAGTAGTCAAACAACTCAGGAAAGCCGCTGAAGGATACGAGAGTTGGAAAGCATCACAAGTTGATCCTACACTCAAACCCTGGGTATACCCTGAACAAACGTTATCTTCCCCAAGAATTAGTTTATGTGATGTAAGTATGATGAGAGTAGGTATATATAAAAAATATACTTACGGAAAAGGTTTCTGTGGAAATGTTTTTGGAGTCTAGGTTCTTCATTGAAATATTGAAATTGGAAAACTTTTGAAGACAAGATCACAAATGATTGCAAGAACTGTTGAATTCCGAATTTGAACGACTTCTGATATCAAACTCGGAATTTACTGAATTTCATTCAAAACAAAATGTGTGTGAGGCCCCTTCAAACCTTTCAATGTCGATTTTTTATATAACTTCCTATTTTCCCGAATTTAATTATAAAGACAAATTATTAGGACAATAGATGCTAGAATCTTCAATATTTTCGAGATGCTCTTCAATATATAATAGTATATGGTGATTTTGTTGAAACCATGCTCTCATTCTAAGAACTATTCATACTTATTTGTTATTTTTGAATTGTCAAATCGGCCATTAGACTGAATTTCAGGTCGTAGTTCTGAAATGGGTCCCGTAGAAAAAGGTGAATAACACAACAGTGATACTTAGAGCAGATGAATAAACATCAAAGGTATAATTATTTTACGAATTCATTTCACCTATTATAAGTTCAGTTAGTGAACAAATTTGGTTGAAATAACACCTGGTCTGTAATATCCCGGGACTAAAAAAATAAAACGCGTTTTTTTGTTAAAAATTGGCTTCATTCATCAACATAACCTCCATCAAAAGCCACACAATCATTTTATCGTCGCTCTAGCATTTCAATACCACTTTTGACTCAAAATAGGCCCCACTTGCAGCAATAATCTCTCCATTTGAGCGAAATTTCTTACCGGTGAGCGTTTTTTCAAGGTCTGCGAACAGCCAGTAGTCGTTGGAAGCCAACTCTGGCGAATATGGTATATGCGGGAGCAATTGAAGCCCATTTTATGCAATTTTACATTATCTTGATGAAGCAGCACTTTCTTTTGTTTTCAAATGGGGTGTTTTTCTGCAATTGAGGCCTTCAAAAGCTACAATAACGCTATATAATACTCACTGTTGAAGGTCGCACTACGCACATCCCAAAATACAGAGGCCTTAACTTTTCCAGCTGATTGTTGTACTTTCGGCCGCTTTGGACGAGGTTCACCAGTTGATCTCCACTTAGATGACGATCTTTTGATTCCGTAGTGAAGTAACGAATCCATGTTTCATTCTTCGTCACATATCGACGCAAAAAATTCGGTTTGTTATGTTCAAACACGATCAAACACTGCACAGAATCATCAAGACGTTCTTGTCAGTGAGCTCGCGCGGCACCCACTTTCAACAGAACTTTTTCATAGTTAAATGGTCATGCTGTATAAAGCCAACACGTTCTCTTGATATCTTTACAATGTCAGCTAACTCACTAACTCACGCAACTTCATTTTTCTACCATTCAAAACGATTTTGTGGATTTCTTTATGTTTTCTGGTGTTACTGCCTCTTTTGGACGTCCATTGTGTTCTGATCATCGGCGTCTCTACGACCACGTTTGAGGTCAGCAAACCAACGTTTTTTAGTTAGGAAAGCTATGGATTATGCTGTAGACGACCCCTCCCGATATAGAAGGCCCCGACACTCTGTCGAATGAGGCCCCTATGTCCTCCGTTGAAATATGAAAAATCTTTCCATCCATCTGACCCCAGCCAGGTAGGATTACACCGTGAAGGGCGGCGCTGATGTCTGAGGACATTCATGTTGCCATTCCACCATCAGTCATGAACCCATTTGTGTCTCTCTGACAAACATCAATTGAAAGGGTAAGGGAGCCAGGCTCCAACCTGAATGAAACCAAGACGATTTTCCACAAACCAACGTTCAATTGATGTTTCTGATGGAGCGGAGTCCTTATAATTCATTTCAAGCCATTGCTTCGCTTGAACGGCATTTTTCTCCATCAAAGAGCAGTGTAAAATTAAAACACGAAATTGTTTTCGATCCATTGTTTTGAAAATAACAAAAGTAATGTCATTCTCAGCACAGTAGATATGTACTACCAGTAATCTAAAGCCAAAGATATGGGGAATAATTTAGAATTCAGTATCCTTTGACAACTGTATCAAGCTTTCAATAATACGTCATAATAGAACTTTAGTTTCTTTGAAATATTTCAAATACATATTCGTTGGTTGATATATTCCAGTTGACAACATTGATTTATGGATGCAACGTTACTTGATGAAAATTAATAACATTATCCATGATAATTTTCAATTTTCACATTGATTCGATCTGTTTCTTGTGGTGTAGAACCTGACCGATAAAACTTTTTTCACAAAAAAATTATGTCAATTTCAAATATCATTTGAAATGGATATTAATTTACAAACATTATAAACAAATATCAGCAAGAGAGAAATAGAGAGAGTGCATTACCATTTTCAAACCAATTTCATATTTATAACACCGTCGAAATAGAATTCAGAAAGATATGTCTTCCTTTCATCAGTTGATATTCTGATACTCATATCTAGAATTAAAAAAAGTAGTATTAACTCATCCAATCATTCCTTGAAATAGTTTTTTGTTTCAGTGTGTCGCCGTTGGTGTTCCTTTAGCTGCTTCAGCAGATTGTGAAGAATCTGACTGATTGTTATTTTCACATTATACGACGTCTGTACAAGATTACAAAATATTAAATACTACTTACCTTCGATTTCGCTAAAAAATATGTTTTGACTAAAACAATTTCTGTGGGTGAATCGGGGACAAATTATACAAATCCAATGAAAAATTACCATGTTTTATGATATCTAGTACAATTAATTTCTGCTTAACAGTTGAATCAGTTTTCAATTTTTAATTAAACAATTGACAGGTGCCTTAGTATCGCTATTTTAAATAGTAATTATGTTGATGTCTAATTTGTGGTGATTGTATTTCATCTCGCAATGAAGCCGTAGAAACATGAATTCATTCCGAAAAGGCAAAGGCAAGGCTATTTCATTTAAATTGGTATCTCGAATAACACTTCTTGAAATAAATGAAAAATGTAATATCTGTTTCATTTCATCATTGAAGAAACGATTGTTCAAAATCTAAAAATGTATATAGGGTGTGGCATTGTAAAAAAGCTAAGTACTTTACGATGAATATGTATTTTTTTTTCTATTTCTTTCATGATAATGTTCTCATATTTGAGAACTAAATTATTTTTATCAAAACATTTTATTTTACAGTTTCTTCAAAGTGATTCTATATGTGAGTTATGTTTTGTATTCCTGCTAACTATTCCTAATAAATTTGACATAAATGAAAGTTATAACGCAACATTATAGAATAAGATTGTGTTTCAGACACTATGCAATGGAGAAATAAACAGCTTCGTTAAAGCATCAAACAGACTTCAAAACCAGTGAAATTCATTATGTTTCGAATGGACAAAAGCTGACTTAACAGAAAGCCATATTTTTTTTAGTAACAAAATACATTGAATTCGAATCGCTGGACATTGAATCCATTCTCGTTCTCAAGAAGTTTATTTCACGTAAACGCAGTTCTCCAAATGAAAAAGTTCTTGAACAGAACCCCAAAACGATCAGCAGCCACAGTCCGTCGCGTATTTCTGATATGTACCGCTCTTGGTGGAATCGAATGTGCTAAGTCACTTGAATACTTTCCGTTGTAGTATCTATAGAAGAGAGACAAATCTCTAACCTTTCTTTGATATTTCAGACTATCAAGGTTGGTAGTGATGTTCGCGTCTCCAATCAGGTGGATGGCTCTTTTCTGAATAGAATCAAGCAGCTTTCGGGTATGCTCAGGGGCGAAACTCCAAACATGAGAACAATACTCCGAAGAAGGTCTGATCTGAGCTTTATAAAGTATCAAAAGTTGCTGAGATGTGTATAGTTTTCTGGTTCGGAACACAGTGTTCCAAGCTTTTGAGAAGCAGCCTTTGAATTCCAGCAACATGATTGTGCTAAGATATATTGATGTCCATTTTAACCCCCAACAAACTTATCGAAGCAGAAAGTGGAATTGTCTGATCTGATATATCCGGTTCGGAGACAATTATCTTTTTGGAAAAAACCAATGCCTGGGTTATTGTGGCATTGAATCAAACCTGATTATTTTCAACCCAATACGAAATTACTTCTAGATCCTCTCTAAGATATGCAACCTCCTGCTGCCAGTGAAGGTGTGTATTCGCTGCCAATGTGGAATCCAAATGGAATGACGAAACAAGTGTGCTGTCGTCAGCAAAGCAATAATTTGGATTCTTGGTTTTTTCCAAAGTCGTTGATATACAATAGAAAGAAGGTTGGAGACGAAATAGATCCCTTGGGAACACCAGCGTAGATGGTAAAATTATTCGAGAGATATCCGTCGACGTCCACTTGCAGGGAACGTTCTTTCAGGAAGCTGGAGAGCCATACACAAAATTGATCCGACAAGCCATAGCTTCGAAGTTTGGCCAACAAACCCTCATACCACACACGGTCAAAGGCCTCAGAAATATCAAGCACTTCAGATTTTGACTCTCCATCTTTCTCAATTGCTTTATTCCAAATATGAGTGACATACGATAGGAGGTCGTCTGTTGATCTTTGTTTCTGAAAGCCATATTAAGGATATGGTGGTTTACGGTTTTCTCCATGATTTGTGATATCACTGATAACAAAGCGACTGGTCTATTATAGTTATTTGTAAGATTTTTCTTGCTTCTTTTTGGGAATATGCTGAGAGCTAGCAATCTTCCAACAAGAAGGAGAAACCCCTTTCTTGTAAGACAGGTTGAAAAGTCTGTAAAATACTGGTGTGAGTTCATTTGCGCACTTCATCAGGACCAGACGCCTTGTTGATATCGAACTGTTCCAGAATTCGCCTGACTAGACGTTGTCTAGTCATGGATATTGAAAAAATTACATTACCGATGGTGCATGCGAAAAAGAAGATATGATATGTGGTCACTGATCCTTGATCCTGCCAAGAACTTGTATATTATTTTCACAATTTTAATAAAATAAGGGATGATTCTTTCATATTATCTTCATGCGGGATATAGTGAATGAATAAAAGTAGATTTTTTTTGTCCTACGGAAATACACTTGGATTGATAAACCGCGGTGCATACAAACTTTCATTTCATACAATCCCGTTACTACATTCACAACATACATTTTCAAATATTCAAAAACAATTTTGCTCGGTGTCAAAATAAAGAGACAAAACGTAGGAGAGTTTGAAAATTCTGACGAAATTACACAAAATACGGAGAAAACAATACAAAACTAGCTATCGAAAAAACGAAAGGCATCTACGGCAAAACATGTGAAAACATGTTTATGCACAAAATGTGGGACACTTGCGAAAAAATGAAGAAATCAATTCAGAGTAAACTCTGCACAAAGAACTAATTTTATACATATGTTTATCATGAAAAATGTTCATCTGTTGATTTGAATCAGCTGATCAACTTTCATTATATAACTAAAAAATTTTCATCTGTCAAGTGTTTAGGGCTTTACATAGATGAAAATGCATCGTGCTGAGAACATATTAAAATTTTACTTAAATGATATGAAATATTATGTCACCTGAATATATAAGGTATATCTCTTCAGTTCTTTTGAACCTGCAGTATTTGATACCATTCTGAGGAGCTACTCAAACCACTAAAAATACCGCGGAATGAAGATATAGAATGTATTTTCAAAATAGATCATAAGGAACAAAGCAAAAAATATTTTAGACATATCGATGTTACACAATCTCAATATCTCCACCTTCATTTTTTTGACAAAAAACAATTGAAACATTCAATTTTGTTTTGGAAATAAATATTGATCAAGATAACTATTCAACCAATCATTCAAAAAAGTTGACTGTTTTGAATAATACATTGAAAAATAATTCGACAAATTCTTAGGAAAATTTCAGCAAACCAAAATGTAAAAAAAATCTTTCTTTCTTTGTATAAACATTTTATGTTTTTTGTGAAAATTGTTATTATTATCATGACGAATGTTTGAAATACAATACACTTCAATGAATTGGTTTTGAAAACTACAAGAGAAAAAATAATTTTATCAAGAACAATTCACGAATACTACCCCAAAAATAATGTAAATTTGTATAAAATGATTGTTGCACAAGTTATATCAATAATGATGGAAATATGGAAAATATGAATTTATAGGTATATTCGTAAAAATGACGATTTGTTCTGAACTTCGCGAAATAATGAATGAACAGCTCGTTGCGATTGGAAACAAATATCTTTTGTCATTCCATATATTTCAAGAGGATCTGAAGAACATTTTAATGTCTCATCTGTTTTTCAGGACATTAGATTTAACTAAAATTGAAGTAATGATGGAATATTTGAATCCAAAAAAAGCTTATGGGTATAATGATTTCATAATAAATATTGTGGAAGCAGTCAATACCGGAATCCATCAATTTTATTCTTCATTTTATGGAATCTTTTGAAAGTGATATAATACCTAGCAATATGGCTTTAAGTACTCCTACTTATAAAAATGGCTAAAAAAAAGATTATCCTCACAACTACCACCCAATTTCCGTTTTATCAGTTTATTTTCCAGAATTTTACAGCGGTTGATGCATAAAAGAATAACCGATTATTTGTAAAACAGTAATCTTTCAAACTGATCAATATGGTTCTTACAGCTCTAGAGTTACAGAGGCAGCAGCAATGTAACATAAAAAAAAAGGTTATGAACGACCGCCTGATCACAATCGACCGCCTGACTTTTGAACTACGATAATGCACCTGCTCACACTTCATTGCTTCTTCGTGTTTTTTTGGTCGAAAACAGTACTGTAACGATGATCCAGCCCCCATATTTATCAGACGTAGCTCCGTGTGACTTTTTTTTAAATAAAGAGAACCTTGAAGAGCTATGGTTTCACAAGCATAGATGACATGTAAATCGCATCGCAGAAAGAGCTAAATGCTATCTCAAAATTAGTTTGAGACGTGTTTCGAGGATTGGAAGAATCGCTGGCACAAATGTAAACTATCTAATGAGGATTACCTTGAAGATGACAACATCAACGTAGACGAATAAATAAATATTTTTTCCTAAAAACGAAAATTTCCTCGAATGTCAACAGTCTGGTGCGTAAACTGTCAGTGAATCTATTTATGTTGATATCTGTTCGATGTGCAAGGAAAGGAGAAAATCCGTATCAATCCACAAGTTTCCCTTTATTTGAAAGGATTATCTGCAGAGATATTCAGAAGCAAATTAAATGTTGACATCGACTTTCCTCCAGAAAAATTTGATATGAGCAGTTACGCAGCAGACAATGTGGCTCATTGTCTTTATATTCTATATACATTTTCGAATCACAGTGGGACTACCTACAGCAGGAATCAAACAGCATACTGCAGACACCCCTACACGTTTGCACATTTTTTGATTGTCTTTGAAGATGTTAACAAATTTGGAATCTATGAGCAGAATATGAAAATAATAATTTATGAACTATCAAAGATATTGACAAAACAAAAAACGTTAATCAGCTGTCATCCGTCTACGAATGACAACCCATAAATCGAACTTGTGCGAGCTGAAGGATGGCTAGGTCTTATCTTTCCCAGCAAAATTCAACAAAGTTGGTGAAAACGGTTCTTGTTGATTTCAAATATCAGAAAATAATTGAATTTTAAGGAACGGTTAGTCGAGCTGGTGTTTGACATAACCAATTGGTTGATGATGGAAATTCTGGTTGTTTTTGTTCGATTTATTCCTGTATTCGTTTGAGATCTAGTCGAGTTTTTTTGTTTTAATCCTCATATAGTTGAAAAAAATTATGAGGAATCTGAAAAACCCTTTTTTTTGAAATGGCTGTTTTCGTTTATTTGGTGCAAAAAAGAGGTGGTCCGTGCCTCAATATGACTACCGGTACGTCGGGGTTGAAGCGCAAAGGTCGAGGGCATTATGCATGCTATAGACCCAATATCTAAGACATATCAGACTTGAAACACTTTAGTGGAGAATGTATGCGTACTCGTGTGAAGAAA